GAAATTCTTTCGCGGACGATCCTGCAACATGCCGCATCGACTGGCACAACTTGGCCTTCCGAAGACGCGAAGTCTACTTTGTTGTTGCTCTTTCCATTCTTCCCGTCGTCGCGGTGTCTCGTCGTCCCTTTTAGTAGCGGAGAGGCGCAATAATCCCTTATTAGGTCAATCCTCTCGCTCTTTTTTTTTCTCTCTCTCTCTCTCTCTCTCTTGGCGGCGCTTGCGAATGCATGTTAAGTTGAACATTAACGCACATTGCCAACAAATGTTTTGTATCAGAGAATATCGCAAATTGTTTACCGTTGAATAATTGATCGATTTTGAGTGAGGCAATGGTCTCGTCATAAAAATGTGTCGACTGATTCGATTGTTTCGATATACGCGGGATGCGCTAAGCAAACCGTCGAACTTTAAATTTTATTGATGCGATCTCGTGTTTCGCGTGTTTGCTCGGCCGATAAATTCAAGTGGCCTAACAATGTATCGGATAACTCGATAAGTTCCAAAACTCGTAAACTTATGCGGTTCGGGTTACTCGATAAGTTCAGATTACCTCCTAATCGTTTCGAACAAATTGCATCAGATCGGACGCACTTTGTAGAAAAAGCGGGAGCGGACATAAACAACGACAAATTCTCACAATCTCTCGTCAATAATCAATTTTTCTGTAATTTTGTCTTGTTTTTTAAAAGACAAGCGCGTGAGAAATGCGCGCGCGTGTCCGTCTGCTTATTCCGTTTTCGGTTGTTCAAGTTTGTTTGTTTGTTTGTTTTTTTTTTTGAAATCGTATAAAATCTGTTTTACAAGGAAGATTTGTTAATTGCACCATTCGCGTGACATTTGACGCGTTCGAAAACGCATTTTGAGAAAACGTCGATGGGACGGAATAGCAATGTTGAGATCGGACCGGTGTTCTTTTAATAAATTGAACCCTTGAAATGCGATTAGTGTAAACACCTTATTTTAAGGGAGGAAGGGCACGCGAAGTATTGCCTCGTAACACCGCAAAAGCTTTACGTGAGTGACGGCAGATAGACAGCCGGGGACTTGAGAGTTTCCCGGTGATACCACGAGGAGAGGGTGAGCTCAAGGGTGACAGATGATTTAGCGCGGTATTTCCCGTGTCAATATACCAAATACCAGGTTGTCTACTTGAAGTGTGCCACACGAAAGTCAGCGTTTTTTTTTCTTTTATTTGTTTTTCTAAAGTCTAAACGCGTATAAAGTGATAAAAAAAAAAAAATTATCTAATTTTGTTCTTGAATTGTTTTCTCGTCACGAAATGATTGAAAAATGTTTTTTTTTAGCAGAGTTACAGATAAAAAATATAATTTTGATACGATATTTTAATATGTAATATTAAAAACAAGTGTAATATTTTGATATGTAAATTTTTGCGCTCTCTTATGTTTGTTTTTTTTTAAAGATTTTACTTCACTATTCGAATCACGTGTTCTTTGCGCGACAGACGAAATCTTATGCGCGCGCGTGAGAAATCCAGAGCGAGAGAGAAATCGACTGTGCGACGGACGAACGATCGGTGTCGAATTTGATGAATCTAGTTTGTTATAAACCGGAGATATTCGCGAGAGAGCAGAGATATTCGCCGTCTCGTGGATGAGACGTTCGTGAGAGAGCGCGACGAGGGTAAGAAAAATGACCGGACGGAAGGAGAAGATCCTTTACCGGTGGAATTTGAGTGTCAATCCATATCCCCTTTTTCCTCTGATCCCTTTATCCTCGGGGACTTCTTGGTCATAGAGACGGGAGAATGAACGCGCGGGGGTGGGGGAACGGGAAAGAAAAGTGGCGTCTGATCTCGGGGAGGATGTAACACGCGAAGAGACGACGAACAAATCATGAAAGATGAAGATTCGGCTGAAGTTATATCGGAAAACCAGGCAGACGTCACGATATTAACTTTAGCTTCGCTTATTCGATTCAGATATATATATATATATGTTTTATATTATACACTTCTCGATTATTAAATTCGAATGTCACACGAATATCGTTGCATTACAGGAGTAATAATTGGATTTGCTATTCCGAGTTTTTCGCGTCTAATATTGTAATTGTAAACAAAGTTTCGGTTATTCTTATCACTCGTTCCCCTGTACGTAAACAAGACAAATATACAGTAGAACCTCCCAAAACGTATACTCCTAAAACGTATATACCTCCCAAAACGCATACAAATCTACTCTCAAAACGTATATTTTCTCCTTCATCGCTTTTCCCACCACTACGTATGGGTACAATCGAAACTGCGCTAGCGCTTGCGCATTAGGCTATGCACATGTAACATACATGGTCGTAATATAACCTCTATTATAATATGCGCATGCGTTAGTTAAAGAGTGAGGGAATAGGGGCAGTATACGTTTTGGGAGGTTCGTCGGTCCCAACTGTATACGTTTTGGGAGGTTCTACTGTATATCCAGTGACCGGAAACGTAATTACAATAAAAGAAATAATTGTAACAAAGTATTTACATGTGTAAAAATTAGAAAAATTAATATTTAAATGTCTACTTAATATCTAATATCTAATACTTAATATCTAATTAATATTTAAATATCTTAATATTTAAATATCTAAAACACGTCTCGGTAATCGGAACACGTTACTCACCGGATATAGTTCGGGAGATATCTTAGATATGATAATTCCGCAAGGACCCGCGTTTTCCTGCATCGCGCCCTAAGTACACACACGTATCCTCATCCTGTCTCATGGGCAGATCGCTCGCTGAATTCTTTGAAAAACTACTTTGTAAAATTGGGGACGCGGCGCCAAAAGGGAGGAGTGTGCAAGGCGGCCGAATGAATAATAAATAAAGTTATCGTTTAGTTGATATTTTGAAGAGGGGGCGCAGACGGAAATTCCTGTCTCTCTCTTCCTCCCTCTCTCTTTCGTCGAAGGGTGAGAAAGAGATCAAAGCGTATTGGAGATGGAGAGAGAGAGAGATAGGTCAGCGGAAGATTCTCTCGCTTGGAGTTCCATTCTCCAATTGCCCGAACGAAATATAGTCGCGAATCGCGCCGCGTATCGGTAGCACAACAACGCAATCAATTAATTGCGACTATTATCGATGAGCAGGCATATCAAGGCGCGCGGATCGTTTAAGTGCCTCGACAGAGTGCGCGTGTAATATCACCGAGAGCCGATTGTATATTTCTTAATAATGCGAGATTGAAATTTGTATTCGTCCACGAATAAACAAATAAATTTAAAAACAAATCGGATAATTATTTTTTCATCTCAAATAAAAATCATTTTTATGGACATTTCGAAGTTTGACATCTAACGTGCGCGTATTTCTCTATTTTCATGTTATCAAAAAGTTATAGAATCTCCAAGTTGATACGAAACACGTACACACACATGCGCGCGCGCGCAAACGTTACCTACATACACCTGGTCGCGGTAGCTGAGCGAGTAGCTTCGCTCTCTGGTGGTCTACGACGGCCGGGCGATGGAGCGGCTAATAACGATAACGATGCCAGAAACGATAATGGAGTTGGGGGTTTCCGCGGTTTCCACGGCTCTCCCAGGGCGCTGATTGCTGGAACGCGGCGGCGGCGGCGGTTGGTTTCGCCGTCGGAATGCCGTTTCGCCCGGCAATCGCGCGCCAAATTGCAACCCCCGTGCATCAATTTAAATACACGCCGCGCACTGCTATCTATCAAATCAATTCGAGATCAATTTTTGCTTTTTATTAATCACGAGCAATGTCCATCTTCTTCCTCGTTTCTTTTAAAATTTTTAATCGATGGCGAATGGAAAAAAAAAAAAAAAACTCGAACAATCTCTTCTAGGTACAGATAATTAATGTTGTTTCGACAAGGTGCCAAATTGATTTGTCATTTCACGTCATGACTTGTCTTTCTCACAAGTCGTCAGAATAAATATTAGATACACATCCGTGTTTGGCTCAATAGACTGTTTTTTTTTTTTTTTACTTAGACATTTGCTTCAAAGCTTGGATGGATAACAAGCAAATGTGGGAATATGTGAAATTTTGAAAGGACAGAGAAACGTGAAAAAAAAATTAATTATAAAAGGGTGAAAAAAAGAATAGTAGAAGAGTGAGAAGCGCAATCGTTGCCTCGTTCAATTGGCGAAGCTCAACGAGAAGTTTCGGATATTGATGCACCTCGAGCCGCCGTCGCCTCGGTCAGCGTGTATCTGCGTGCGGGCGCAGATGGAGGCGTAACGAGTACACAATGCGATGCAAATTGGTTAGACTCGACTATGCCGCGCCGGGCCAGTCAATCGCTCGGCCGGTTGCCTCCAGTCGCGGCGCTACCGCGATGGTATTACTAACATCGCTATTCTATTATGACGTTACGGCTACTACCCGAGCAGTAGCAGCAGCCTATTACGATGTGCCGACTCCCTCCAGGCGTTCGATTCGCGATAACTCGTTAACTATAGCGGTCATCGAGACTCTCTCTCCCGGTGAGAGACAATATCGGAAACGCCCGCTCGCGGCTGACTTCCCGATTGATTCTCGTTGCACATTCAACTGATTCTCTTCGCCTTATAATTTAGCCGAGAATAAAATTCTATTATCGGCAGTAATGAAATAAAATTCCATTACCGTTTAGTTATTAATCACAAAAATAAATTCTTTTGAAAGCGTGACAAAATGACGAGACGACAATTCGACGAGATCTCGACGCTCAAAAATAAAATTTTTTTATTCAAACTCTCTCATAGGTCTTAGCATAATTATAAACTTGTTTCTGTTTGTTCTCATAACATGTATATATCTGAGGTGCTCTTATGCATTTATATATTATGTACGTGTATATATGTAAGTTCTATTATATATTCAAAAATATAAACTACCTTATAGTAAACAATATATCGATCGTTGTAACAATTAATGGCACATGAAAAAAAAAACTCAATCTTTACATGGTGTGTGTAAAAAAAATATATGTGTATATATATTATATATAGACTTTTATATATAAACATATATATATACTTTTTATATGTGTGAATAAAACAAGCTTTGTTTTTATAATACCTTAATATAATACTTTAATATAATAAGCAATAGAAAGAACGCATCTTATCTTGTGTGCACTCTATTCCAAACGATGTCGTTTTCTCGACCTATCGTCTTCATCGAAGTCGTCCCAATTAAATCGTTTTTTATTCGCCGGTCCCGCTGACATATTGCTGCTCGCGTCTCGCAATTGATTAGAGGTAGTTTGTTCCTCCTCGTCGGATTCATCCTCGTCCTTTATGTGCACAAGAGAATTATGGGGCTCGTTGAAATCGGACATTTTTATCGCGGTCATTCCACTAAACAAGAAAAAGATTTAATTTAATTTTTATTCTTGATTATAATTCTGCAAAAAAAAAAAACTTAGATTGTACTTTTGTTTGCGGTAAAGCTCGTGGAATCTCTTGTGATTGTTCAGATCAGCAAGTTTCTGCAGGAATTTCTCGTCGTGGCTGATTATAATCAGCTGAAAGTTCTTCTGATGTCTTGATCGCAACTCGACCACTCTGTAATTACATTTGCGTTAAATATTATCACTTGAGTTTTTTGCTTTTGAGAGAAATATATTTGAAAAGAAAAAAAAACACATACTTAGTCAGCGTGTCCGCTAAACTGTTTGCATTTTCTTCGTCCAAGTTCGTCGTCGGTTCGTCCAATGCGAGAATACCGCAATCTTTACAGAACGTTTCCGCCAGAGCTAATCGGATGATTATCGATGCCAATACCTATGAAAATTTGTGAGTTAACACGCAATATATTCGCACCTTGATGTAGAACACAAAGAGCGATTACTTTTTGTCCGGCGCTGCAACGTCCTTTCATGTCCATTTTGCAGCCGTGCTTGGTTTGGATCAGTTTGTAATTGTAGCTTCTTCTGTTACTGCCGACACCTTCCGTAGGTTCCGTGCAGATTTCTATGCAGCTTGTGTCGGTGCCCTTGTAAACGTGTTTCCACAACTTCTTCATAATTTTATTGACGGTCGCCATGCGCTCCTCGTGATACTCGATCATCGCAGCGTCCAATATCTTGTTGTAAGCCTTCAAATTTTCTATAGTCTCTTCCTGAATCTAAAAGAAAAATTCTTAATTGAACAACATATTGAAATTAAAACGATTTGTTGGAAAAGTATTATTTATATTTGTCTAAATACGTAATTATAAGCATTTTACGTATGAATGATATTTACTGTTAATTCAATGCACTTGCTGGTGTAATTTCGACGAGCTAATCGGTAGCTCTCTTTTCGCAGTTCCTGTGAGGTTTGTTTGATCACTCTTTCCAATTCTTCTTGTTTGCCCAGCGCTACATTTCTCTGAAAAAATGCGATTAAAGTCACTTATTTCTTAATATAAATATCAGATGAACAACAAATATATAAACAAGACTTATCACTCACCTGACGAAGCATCGATTGCTTTTCGCTGTCCAGCTGTTCAAATTTATTCACCATCTCGTTGTAATTCATGCTGTTCAGTTTTTCACGCAACTGACTATATTTCTCTTTTGAAGTATTTACCATTTCCTCAGCTTTGCGCAAAGCCATGTTGTCAATTAACTCTCGCTTTCCGATTTCTTGAGAGGTAATCTCCTCCTTCAGTTTACTTATTACTTGTTCGATGTCGCTCTTCTTGTTCATAAGTTCCATCAGCGAATTCTGATAAGTTTTTATTTCGGACTCGTATCTCTCTAGAGTTGCAGTCACGTTGCTGTTTACAAATGAATCAACTTCGCGCATAACTTTCTGCAAGTCGGATAAGCGTTCGGTATTTTCAGCTATCAATTTTCTGTCGGCTTCTTGTTGTTGCCAATTCCTCGCCTGTGAAAAATAAAGAAGAGGTCACAGAATTTTCTTTATCTGAACTTTGTATATTTATTTTTTGCAAGTTCGTAGGTAGGTTTTAAAAACTAAACCTTAGTCTTTTCCAATCGCTGAGTTCCGGTCTCTAAGTTATTTTCAGCAATTGCCAAATCCTTTCGTAACTTTTCCACTATCTCTCCCACGGAAACTTCACGCGTGTACAAATCCTCCTGTTTGTCCTTCAAATGTTTCAATTTCTGCATATCCGATTGGATTTTTAATTGTTCTTCATGAAACTCGTTGTATTCCTCTCTCGCGTTGTGTAGTTTTTCGTTGTGTTTATTCAATTTGATCTGCAACGCCTCGATGTAATTACGAGTTTCCTTGAAAGACATTTTCAAGGAGTCTCGTTCTTTTTGCGCTTCTTCTATGGTTCTTTTGCTTGTAACTCCTATAAAAAAAATACCGTCATATAATGACATAAACGTACATTACACATTACAAAAGCAAACCAAAGAGATTAATAATGATGAATTACTTCAATTGTCACTCACCGGAATTGGTCATCTGAGTTTCCAACTTGCTGACAGCTTTCTTTAGTTCTTGTATCTCGTCTACGCATCGATCCCAGAATTTAATATCGCCAATCATGTTTTTATACAATGACAGCTTGTTTTCAGGCTTTGTTTTACTCGTTTCCAAGTCCTTGGTGGCTGCTTTCGACTCCATTACGCTCTTCTGTTTTTTCTCCAACTTCTCCCTGATAGAAAAAAGCAAAAACTTTAAAAACTTAGCAAGTAGATTATAAAGTACAAACAAAAATATACAATTTCGAAACTTTAAAATATTATACACAATATGTAATAACATTCACACACGTTATACTCACTCTAATTTTTTCAAGTCAACTTCCTCACACTGAATAACCTTCTCAACGATAGGTTTCAATTGCAACATATTATCATATTTTTCTTGTTGCGTCCTCAGCTCTTCCTCACATTTCTTCAGACGATCCGGTTGATTTTTAATTATATCGTTTTCCATTTCTTTTATCAATTCCGTAACTTTCTTTTTTTCTTGAAAGTTTCTGTGACACAAAGGACAACAAGGGTCTTGTTCGGATAGCTTTTTAATATATTCCTTATAAGCTGTAGCTTGATACGCATAAATTCCTCTTTTGTCTTGAAGATCTTTTACTATTCTCGACTGCATCAGCAAAGTCTCATCGAAATCCTTGTAATCACATACTGTGGATATCTTTTCCTTGTCATCTGAAAAAGAATAATATATAAGCACATCATGAAGATTTTCTTACACAATAATATAATCACTTAAAAGAATACAGCTTCTTCTTACAATGTAACTCTCTTCTCTTTTTCTCAATGTCTGATTCCATGTGTCGCACTGTTGTCTCAAAAGAAGTAGTTTTACGTTCTTGCGCTTGAATTTCCCGCGTCAAACTATTTACTTCTTGTTCCTGAAAATCGCAACCGACATAAAGTTTTTGAACTGACGTAAAAATAAGACAAGGTTTTAATCACATACCAATTTTTGGTACACGCGGTCCAAACTAATCTTCAATTTTGTTTGTTGCAATTCTTGAACATTCAGTAATATCTTGATGCTGTCTCCGTGTTTTTTCTTCAAATTTTCCAATTCCTCCTCTTTGGCCCGCAACGCCGACTTTTTCAATTCCAATTCCGCCGTCAACGAGCTCAATTTATGCAAAGAGGAGATCTCATCGTCGATCGTGGTCAAACTGACTTCGATCTTATCTCGGAAGTTTATTTTGTTTTCAATATCAGTTTTAACAGTATTGGTATTCAATGCGCAACTAAGTTGATCAACTTTTTGTTTCGCCGCTTGCAACTTTTGTTCGATGGACTTCAATTTATTTCCCGCTGCGCCGATCTGCACAAAAAGATTGTTGAAGTTCACATTAAAACGTGAAAAATTTCCCTCTTATAAAAATTCTTGGAGGTAATATATTACTTGTGTTATTTGACTCCGAATTGCGACGTTTTCATCTCTTATCTCTGTCACTTCTCTTTCTTTAAGAACTTTTTCCGATTCTATCTTCGAATAGGTGCTACGTAGATCATCAACCTCCTTCTGCAATTCTCTTTCATCCTTTTGCATGATCATTCTTTTTTCTTCCACCTCTTTTACTAATTCTTGCATCTTTTGTTCCAATCTTTTTGAAAGAGCTTTCACCTCTGTGAGCGTACAGAAGTTTTACGTTAATTGGCACTTAAATGCCATAGCAATTCTTTGATAAAATGAAAAGCTACAAGGTTTTCTTTAATACGTACCTATATCAGAAACATCTGCCTCTACTGTATCGAAGTCCCATGCTTGCAGCGCTTCATTTAATAATTTATTACGAAGAACTATTCTCTTCTCGTGATCTTTTACTTGCTGTTTCAACGTTCCTACCGTTTCTCTTCGCGTCGCTAAGATATTCGAGATCCTAGCTTCTTTCCCAGAGATATCCCTGATCTCAGATTCATTCTAAAAACAGCAAATACGTGACACACACGCAGTAATATAAATTGGTTTTAAAAAAAATTACATTTACTCGTACCTCTGTTATTTCATTGTTCTTTCCTTGCAATGTAAGATCATGCGATTCTATGTACGCATTTAATTCCTCTGTTGAACCTTCAAAGATATTTTTTATGCTTTCCTTCAGTTTTACGTAACGTTCCTTTTGCAGATTGTATTCGAGTTTCCTTTTCTCTGAAAAAATAACATTGTTTCTCTTTCCATAGTATTGTTCTATTTTCAATGTCATTTCTTTTATTGTTTTAGAACACATTCTTATACATATAGAGTATATAACTTACCTTCTTCAGCTTGAATGTTTTTGTATTGCATAATCAACTTGTGGGTCTCTTCAATTTTCTGTTTCACAGGCTCAAGCTCCTTGTTGATATCGTTTATGTTCTCCTTTGTGGCAACTAATCTCTTCTCATGCTCTCCAAGCATTTGCTCTTTAGTTTCTACCTCAGACACAAGTACTTTCTGAGTTTCTTTCTGCGCATTCAGAGTTTTTATGTCATTTTGTAATTCCTTGTAAAGCTTCATGATGCACTCTAAAGCTTTATTGAATTTACTGCTGTCAAATATCTCATCAAATCTTTCCTTCAACAATTTTCCTTGATCAAACGGCCAATTAAGCTCATCTTGATGACAGAATATGACATAATTCAAAATCGCTTTTGAAACACCTAATGCTACACTCAGCTCAGCATCAACATCAGCACATCGATTAGTTATTGACGCTTTCTAGAGAATCAAAACAAAAACATTTTAGAAATATATCGAGATAAATCTTACAAAAAAAAAGCACATAACAAACAATAGATACTCACTTCCTTCTTATCCTTGCTTATTCTGGTCACTGTACTGTCAAGAGTTTTAAATTTCTTCAATTTTTTTAATGACTCTATTGTTCTAGACACTGTGTAAGAATTTCCCACAGAATCAATTATTTCAGCTTTGACAACACCTCTCACCTGCAACAACAAAAACATAAACTTTTGAAGCAGCAAATTTTATTGTTTTATAAGGTAAAATAGCAAACTGTTTCAAAGAGTGAACATTTATCAACAAAATAATTCATCAAATATATAAATATTAATTCTCAATGTTTTGAATAACTTTTAAAATATATTTTTAATTATTAGTTTTTCACACATCTAGTCATTAAAACATTTACCTTGCAAAAAAAATACATACAAATCATTGGAAAGATTAGCAGAGATTTATGCAGAGCACAAAACTTTAAATTTATATATTTATATTGATAAAAAAATTAATATAAATTATATATAGCGCATTATCATACCGAACCAGTTGTTGCCAGTATAGGATCATGTATGAAGGATTTTCCTTTGTCGGACCCGGGCGGGAATTCGCCGGTTGTGGCGTATTTCAACGCTTCGATGATCGTTGTTTTACCTGTGCCATTCGGTCCGAGAATAAGTGTCAACGGACATGAGAAACGAATCAATGCTGGCTCCTCGTTGTCATCGCCGAAGTTCCGAATACCGCGAAGCGACAACCGTCGTATTTTCGACATCTTGTTTTTTATCTAAATTAGAAGAACAAAACAAGAGACAATTTGACAATTGACAACGCAATCAAACGCGTTGCAAGCAAGTGCGTAATCATCAGACGCAGTTTGTCGCAAGCTATCACAGTGTTATACGATCAAATCAGTTTTAGTTCGATTTTTCGCTAATTCTTGGTGTCCTTGTTTAGAAGTAAACAAAGAAAGAACGGTTCGAGTAATGTGTTTACGTACGCAAACATCCAAATGCACCGAACAGTTTTGCAATCAAATCTCTTCAGAACATGTTTTCGTAGAAATTTGAAGTTAGCCTTATCGCCGATTCTCTCACTGCCGAAGCGCGCGAACTGTTTTGACATTGACTATAGAAAGAAGAGCGAGAGCGCCAAGAAGTAGCCAGTCTCTTCTCTCTATCGCCTCGGGCTCTTGTTGTCGGGCGCTCGTTGATTGGGCTATTTCTGTAGATCAAAGTGTGCGCCAATCGCAGTTAAACGGTAGCGAGTGAAACTGTAAGTTGGCAATTACAAACCAACCCTAAGAGCGCGGTTCAAGATGCAAACGCTCGGAACGTCACCGTGTCCTCGTTTACATTCGCGTAAGCAATAAGGATAGAATTACATTTGTGATTAATCAACACGGCTCGGTTATCGAAATTTGATAAACTGTAGAAGCTGTACACGTTCCAAACAAGGTTTTTATCTGGTTCGTTCGCTCTGCTTCTCTCACATGTTCTTTCCGAAGCGACTCTAAGGAGATGAATGACAAATACGAACTGTTGCAATCGTCCCGGGGTTTGATGACTGCTCGAAAATCGTTCATGAGAGAGCTGACACAGCTTCGTAATGTTGAACAGTGAACCCATAATGCTGCATCATAACCAATGACGTGGATGTAGGTTAAGTTTTGCTACCACAAACGATCGAGTGGTGCGTCGGGTCCGCAATTTTCGCGCAAAATAAGTTTAACAAGCACAATGTTCGAAATCACGGACACACAGAGTAAGTGCAACTCTTCTCCGAACCGATTCGATTCAATTTTGTATATGAACGAGGCGGCGATCACTTCGAGATAACAAAAGACCGGGTTGATTGACGTAATCACGTTTTTTTTTTTTTTTTTTGTTTTTGTTTCTTCCAGAAATCGGTGTGGGGTTGGCGGGATTTGGAATCTCTTTCCTGTTCCTTGGTGTACTGCTACTTTTCGATAAGGGTTTACTCGCCATCGGAAATGTAAGATCACGTGTTTTTTTTTTCTTTACTTGAAAATCTCATTCAACTGTTTACACAGCTCCTGTTTATATCGGGACTCGCGTGTGTAATCGGGCCATGGAGGACTTTAAATTTCTTCTTTCAAAGGCACAAGATGAAAGCCAGCGTTTCATTCCTAGGAGGTGTTCTTGTAGTGCTTATGGGCTGGCCCATTGTGGGAATGATCTTAGAAACCTATGGCTTTGTATTGCTGTTCAGGTGAGTAGGATAAACTTTGATGAGAGATTTTTCACAGAGAAGTTACTTCCGAAATATTAATCTATCACGATGTTTTTTTTTTTATTGCAGTGGTTTTCTACCAGTAGCGATTAATTTTCTGCGAAGAGTGCCATTATTGGGTACTCTGTTGAATATGCCTGGCATCAGTCGAATTTTGGACATGATAGCAGGAGATTCTAATAGAACAACTGTATGATAGCTGTAAAACGTTTAAAAAGTTTCCCACACCTCTGAACGCTCATCTTGAAAATCTCTGCTTGTGTATAAAGCAGTCACATGTATCATGTTCCACATTGTTTTCATCATTCCTGATTATTAGGGGATATCAATAGAAATACAATTTTGTATAAAACCAAAACACTAATTTACATTCTATTAATGTCTATTAAATTAAGGAGAGTATAAGTATAAGCCTAATATGCAATTAATTAAAACATTTTTCAAATGTGTAAGTGTGAACTCATATGTATATGTATATATTATATGAATGTGTGAAGGATTGTGTTTATACATATAAAGCATTTCACAAACGTATATAAAAAAAAAAGTTTCTCATTTTAGAATCTTTTTTTTTTCTTGTACTCGGACCAAACTGATAAAGGACCAGAGAAATGTACCTTTTTAACTTGATCAGATAAGCGTTTTTGAAATAATAAATGGATGTTTGACGTACATCTGTAAGACTATCTAAAAATTTTTACACAAGTTTCTTCCAATTTTTCAGAACACAGGTTCTTTTGATAGATTCTCATTATTGAGGATAGGAGGAACAGAAGTTTCCGAATGTATGAAATTTTATAATTATTTTTTATTGAGTTGCTTTCCCTGCATGCACCCTAACATGAACAGATTAGATGCATACACTCTGAGTAACACTTTTCTCATCTTACATGTAGTTTTGAAGTGCGAAATTAAATTAAATTATAGTCCATCAGAGAAGTTCAATGGACCGGCTGAACCGTTTAATTAAAATGGTACCTTATTAATTATACGAATTATGAATTATATCTACAACGGGCCGAAAATAAGGGCGGGGGGCGGCCCAGGCTACGCGCCCCGCCATCGTCGTGATAATATTTTGTCGCGCGTCCCCTTCTTGATGTGTTCGCGTGCGCCGACTTGATTTCTCTCTAGGCAAAAATTACTTTCGGTACTCCGAATAATTCGACTGGTCTACTTACAACACGTGGCATGTGTGAAACATCTTCCAGATAACAGGTGTTCGCGGTACATTACACATTTGTCTCTTCGTCACGTAATTCTCTTAGTGGAATACGAAAATACGTAATGTCAGCTGAATACTGAATCCGGCAATAAGTTAAGCAGATTTTCTTCTATATGTTTTTTTTTTTTTTGTTTTTTTGTTTTTACGTTTACAACTTTTTTATTTGCCGAGTTTCATGCACTTAACGAGCTGCTACATCCCCTTGAATTACTCGTATCTTTAATCGACAGGAAAAGTCTTCTGTCTGTCGATCCGTGGGAATCGCTATCAAACCGAATGGTGAATAATAATGACGGTATTCTTGATGGTGAGATGTAATGAGACGAGAATTTGTTTTAGAGACGTTTTAAAGAAGATTTTTGATCTCATCGTACAGAACCAGTACGAGCGCACCACCAGTACCGCGAAGAACGTTGGAGAACGCGCCTTTGAAGAAGGCATTGCCACCTTCCGACTTGTAAATAGTGGCCCAACAGTGAAGAGTGTTTTTGTATAGAATGTCGGTCTTGGCTCGGCCAGACTGCATCATCATTCGCCTTCGTACCGTGTCGAAGGGATAGGACACAATGCCCGCAACGGTGGTTACAACCTGTAAACAAATTGAAACGCGAGTAAGTGTGACGAACAAAAAGAAATTCCGCGCATATTTAAAAATGTATTAAACACATTCTCACCTGAGCAATACCCCATGAGACAAGGAACGGAGTCTTCTTGGGGTCTGGCAGCATTCCACGAGCGGTGTCATAGAAGCCAAAATAGGACGCACGATAAATAATGATGCCCTGTACCGATACACCGAAGCCACGATACAAACCGACCATACCGTCGGACTTGAAAATTTTACCGATACAATTTCCTAAGCCGGTAAACTCACGTTCACCACCCGCTTTGCCAACGTCGGCAGCCAACCTAAAGGAAAATAATAGAAAACAAAAAATTGTTACAATGCGACGGACACTATTTCTTTTTTTATAAAGTGTTGATCGAACAAAAATACATAGTGTAAAATTTGTGAATTACTAAGGGCCACAGTTCCCCCATCTGTGATTAACTTAAATTGGTCGATCATTTCGTTGGAATTGATTATTTGTGTCATCGATTAGCCGAATTGACCAATTACACAGGCTTGATGCTTAATCAGCCGGTTAACTTAATCGGATGTGATGAAACTGGGGCCTGATTGATTATGTTTACGAGTTGTAACGTTTGCATTAACGTGACAAATGATCGAATATCTTACCTAGTTCTGGCAAAGTCAAGAGGGTATACAAAACAAAGCGATGTGGCTCCGGCTGCACCGCCAGACGCGAGATTTCCCAAGAAGTAGCGTAAAAATTGTGTATTTTTGTCGACGCCGCCGAGGAAAACTTGCTTGTATTTGTCTTTGAACGCGAAGTTCAAAGCTTGCGTTGGGAAATATCTAATAACGTTCGCAAAGTTACCACGCCAGTAACTTAGAAAACCTTGTTCCTTTGGGATCCGTACGAAGCAGTCGACCATACCTGAAAAGTCACATGTGAAATAAAACATGCGTTTGTAATAAGAAAAAAAAACCAAATTTGATCTTTATTTCAGATTTTAACAAACAAAATACAACAGTTCCAAGCAATGTTACATAAATCAATGTCTTTAAAAGATCTTCAAAGATCGCATCGGCGAATCAGTAAAATCGATTCGAACGCGCTCGCATGCGCGATCTCTCGCGACATCTCTCAATTCGATTAATTAAACAAATGACGCGTTGAGGCAACGTTCTGGGAACGTTCGTCGCGGAATTTGAATCAATCATCAAATCGAGGTGCGTTCTGGAAAATTTTCTATCAAGATCTTGGTCGAAAGGTTTGAAATCCTCGCACGCGAACGGATTTTCCCCCCAAGTGTCAGTTAACGGATCTGCGACGCGACCGGATTTCTTTTGCTCGGACGTAAATGAATCAGCGAGACTAATGGACGTCCTGAAATCGCGACGCGTGGAAGTAGGCAGGAGAGGAGGAATTTCAGTCTCGTGGCCGCGACGAAAGGGCGGCCATGTTGGACCGCATCGTCATCGATCGGGGTTACGGTCTCTCGAGCAAGAGAGAGCGAGAAGCCACGCGCTGCCATCTGGCTTGGGACGATGCATTTTATTGAAATATCGATCGTTTGCGAAAGAGGACCGGGTGAGAAGAGGGACTCTTTTTCGCGTCTACACGCACCCCGTCTCTCTCTCTTCGAAGTTATGTAAGTCGCCGAAACTCCGCGACCCGACCTTCGTTACATAAATGCGCGAAATTCTCTCTCGCGCGCGAGAGACACGCGACGAGACACGGATCTTGCGTCGTGCTCTATCCGTTCTAACGGCATTACATAACGATGTGTATGTCTATCTAATGCATTTTCCTGTTATCCCGTCTAACTCTGCGGGAACGAGAAAAAAAACTCTCTCACGGAATCGCCGGTCACATGATCCACTGGGGAAAAATCGTCATTCATGCGCGGCGTGTCTGCCTGCGCTACGATACACGCTCGTTCTCTTTCAAAGAAAAAAAAAAAATCTTCACGCGGCGTGGCCACTCCGTTGTGTCGCCCTGCAACGCAGTATCGGGAGGGGAAGAAGAGAAGTCTTTGGCGAGATAGCGCGCGCGTGACGCGTACACCCGGTATTTTCCCGTTTTCGGCTTGGAACAAAGAGAAAAAACAGATAAACGAGCGGAAAATTGTCGCACAACACTTACCCTTGTAACGCTGTTCCTCGGAGATCTGCTTCGAGATGTGTTGCACCTGCAGCAACAATTTGACTCGCTCGATGGGCGCGACGGTGGTCTTTGATATCGCCGCGGCCACACCACCGGCCACAAAATCCTTGGCGAACGCCACGGGATCCGCGAGTCCAGACATTGTCGGGATGGGTGGATGGTGTGAGGTGCGTGAGTGTGAGAAAGAGAGAGAGAGACCGAACACACGGGATTCCCTGACGGTTCCAAAGTGAGTCGGACGCGCGCCGGATGAGGAGTGAACGAGGCAGAGTTCGCTCGTCGACGGCAAAGCGGACCTCCGTCCGCTAAGAATAGCCGCGCAGGTCACGTGTGTCGCTCTGCGCAGCTAGAGCGAGAAACCAAGACCGGTGGTCTTTCCGCGACGTCGTCGCGCTCCGGCGTCTCGGAAAGATCGCGACCATCCGGGAGACACGCCGTGACACTCGCTCTTTCGTTCGAATTCGCGACCCTTTCCTCGATCCCGGTCAAATTCTTTTGGCGACGCGCACCGCGCTCGTCCAACGCTTTCACGACCAGGCCGATTTTCCCGCGCGCGTTCGAACGTCGTCGCTTCTCGCGCCGCCGCTTACGTCGCGTCCGGCCGCGATCGGCCTATCCGCGACGGCGTCGCGGATCTCGGAAACAATCGGATTATTACGAAGAATTACGAAGCGCGACGGCGGGAAACCTCGCTTCCTCCTCTCCCCGCCGGTCGCGCTTTACTCGTTATTTGCTTCGCGGTATCGTAGGGTACGACCGAGAAAAGAGCGACGGTGAGAACAATCCTTATTTAGCGCATTTCCTGTTTGTTTCCCGAATGTATACAACACGATGTTTCGACGACCGAAACTTTTATTCCCCTCTTTGTACAGGTACGTGTGCAATTCTCAACTTATCTTTACCGCCATTTTTATTATTCAATTTATGTAGATTTATAATGGCGGCCAATCATGTGATTACACAGAGACGATCGGCTGAAAGCGTTTCTCTTTGAACTTTTCTTCGAGGGAATTCTCACACACACAGTTCAAGTGTCAGCAGAGATAGCTCGCGGGCAAACGCGCGCGTCTTGTCAAGAACGGGACGCAGCCAAGGTCACGCACTCTCTTCCCGAGGAAGAAGGGGGTCATCGGGGCGCGTGACTTGCGTAACCCTGGCTCGCGGCCATCGCGTTGCGGGGAGACGCGCCAGAGTTCAATGGAGTAACGTCAAAAGCGATGTATTTATACACCCTATGTCAGCACGGCGGCCACGCGTTACAAAGAGCGCGGGCGCGCGCGAACGAACGAACCTTGCTCGCGGAATATAGACGACGTTGCTAAAATCAGCTGTCCCTCGCCGTATACACACGCGACGCGTAAAACGCGGCAGGTGTGTATACTATTAGAGAGACCACACGCAACGCGCGTGCCCGATACTCTAAGGCGGTTTCACGCACTGATTCCGCGTGTGTGCGTGTGCGACAACGTCACACACCGCTGACCCGAGTATCTTCGTGGCGGTGAACGTGTATGTGTATCTTGCCGACCTTTCGATCGAAGCTTGGATCAGATCCGAACGCCTCGATTACGATTCAAACTATACTTGACATTGTCCTTGAGCGGCGAGCAAATGCGGAACGAACTTAGCGAGGACGACAATTCTTGGATGTTAAAAACCATTGAGAGAGCTAGAAGGAGAATTTGATGCGAGAGAGAGAAAACGTGCGTACACGGTTTTGCGTGCAATTTATTATGAGTAGACTTAGATTGAGATGCTTGACAAAAGTGTTGCAGGTCAGTGTATTTGTATATTGTTGTTATTTAATTTTCAAATCTCTTGGCATCAAGTAACGACTAGTTTACACCGCGACGAGAATTTTGAAATTTTACTTTAGATTTCATTCAAAATTACAACCAAATGAATGACGTTATCTGCAACTTCATCTCGCGTCTACTGTTTATCTCCATCTTCATTTCAAGTTTTATTTACAGCTCTCTGGATATCTGACAGTTCGTTGTTAGATTTATATCGCACTTTTTTTTTTGTTTTTTTATCTTTTAGGAGAACACTTCGCTGCGGTGTTGTAGAACAAAAGTCTACGTCACAATTATAAGATAAGATAATAATGGGAACAACGTGGAATGAGAAAGTTTTACGTTACACGGTAAAAAAATTTATACAAATTAAGAACCAGAATTTTGTCAAAAAGTTTTCAGGAAGATTGATCACGTTGGATTGAGGAAAAAACATGTATCGTCTTGGTCATCTAAAAAAGAGTAACAGAAAATACTTTTTCGTCTGTGGCGACAGATATCGGAGCTGATAACACAAAGACGAGGAAGTTGATAAAAAAAAGCGATAATTTCCAATTATTTACGTAGAAGCGCGTGGTTAGTCTGAGTATGCAACGCGAGCTTATCGTTATCACCTCGCCTCACAAAGAGATAGAACGCGGGCTTCTCAAATGTCGCGTATTGGATTAAGCGGCGACCTTGGTGCGTAGACCGCTGCGTAACCACCAGTGTGCAAACGATTTCCCGACGAATGGTCAATGCACTTGAGAAACGGTTTTATTATCATTTGCGAACTTGAGATCTCGCCCGATTGCGAAAACGCGTCGCTTGAAGAGTCACACGTGACTCTCAAAAATGACAAAAAAAAAAAAGTTGCCCGTGTTTAGCTTTTCTCGATTTAAATACAAATGGGGAAGGATTTTATATATGAATTATTGCGTATGTATGCGTGTCGTATTGTAAATTAAATATATTTTATATTAATCGATGAATCATTACGTCTCTGTGATTTTAAGAATTTATTGACTGATAATATTATTTCGCGATCGCTTTCAACGAACTTCGTTGTCCCTGATAAGTTATATACATATGCAAACGATATTTAAATACACAGAAGTATACGTAACACTTACATAATGTTTAAGTATGCTGAGTATGTACAGACAGACAGAAAAGTATATATAATAGGTTTTTCATTTTCCATGAATGTCACGTGTATCTTAGCGAGTTTTGTTTTAAAAAAATGTCTTACTGACATCAAATGTGATTTTAGTGTTATTTCTAAGTAGAAGTACACTTTGTTGTGCTCTTGTAGATAATATTCTCGGAAGTAACACTAATATATAAAAATAAACGTTGTATTAATTGCGGAAACGTGTGTTTGCAATGACACATCTATGTTGTGACAATCTTTCAGGAATATCGCAATATTTCAGAAATATTTCAATCTTGCAAAGTAATATTCTTGCAACATTTCGTGCTGCGAGAAGCAACCGTGAAGCTCGTCCATTATTTTGAATATTTAAACAATGGCGCGAGAAACTCTGTTGGTACGGCATTCGAACGCAGAACATTGGAACACACGATTCAACGCTATCTGGTGTTTTGACGGCGCACAGTGAAGAAAACTCACGTACAAAAAAAGACGGAAGCAAGAGAACAAGACCAAACAGGACAGGAGTTGTTATTGCTTTGATGTGCGGAATAAGCGAAATATCTCGAGCCGGAATTTTCGAGCCGTCGTCGGCAACGCGTTGGACTCGCGATCGCGTTTCACGTGTGTAATACGAAATATTGCGCGTTGACGTGTAACGTCAGGTGAACACGCTAGATCGACGAGATGACGTTTGCGCGAAATTGCAGCGAGTGACTCCGTGATCTCATACAGCTTTGTGACAATGCGACGTGACCCAGGTTATGGCATCGTATGTATGTACGTGCGTTTTCGCGTAATACTGCGCGTTAATTAAAAATAGCCGACTTTGGTAATTATTCCGGATGTAATCTCGCAAAAGTGTATCCTTTTTCCATCCGAAGCTCACGCGTTTGAAACGTTACGTTACACGGTCTATAAATGGCAGTCACTCTAATTGGGATTTTCTCTGTTCATTTTCAATTTAATTATGTGCGTTACACGTATACGTATTTATTATTCGCTAGAACATGTTTTTATTTATATGTAAAACATTAGCGACGCACTATTAATGTTAGGATAAATTTTAAATTAATTTTTTTTAATAATTCTCTATGATGTTACACACAACATATTATAAAACTTATGATTAACATGTGTAAATTTGACAATTGTTTTAGATATATAATTGTACTATGATGATATTTGATATATAAATGGTGCCTGAAGAGGAGTCAAAAGTCAGCAACATGACTGAAGGTTAGTTATCCAAATTTTACTTTATAAGTATGACAAACTAATAAGTTTATATGTTTTAAAGGTGCAGAGACTCAACCTGGGAACACAGGGAATGAATCCCAGACAGGTATTATTTAATATTATATATAGTACATATATGTGTATATATTAAACATATATATATATATGTATATATATATGTTTCATATATCTTTATAAAGTTAGATATATCAAGCTTGATATAATTAAGTTAGTGTGTGTTGTAAGAGGTATTTGTTACGTTATAAAATAAGGTTTCATTTTTTAATCTACTGTAATTTATATAGTCACTTTATTAAAAAAAAAACTTCTCAATTTTATGTAATATTACTTAACAAATGATATAACAGACAATTTAAAAAATCTAATAATCTCTTGTTTAAAAATCAATATCTTTAAAAAATGAAAAGATGTATAAATTTTATATATAACACAGTATAGCAGCCTAGACAGTGATAAAAATGGATTTGCAATAGATAGAAATAGCAAGCTTATGTACTTTTACAGAAGCCTTAGAAGCAAGGGCAACACATAGCGAAGGATTACATGAGGGAGCAGTGGAATCAACATCGCAAGCTGCTCTCGAACCTATGCAAGAGCTTCTTACAGTTCATGGAACTACGCAGGGGGAAAGCAGCGATGCTGTCAGTATTTATACTGCCAGTACTTCGGTGTCTGGTAATGGTAGGTTTTTAAGTTACAAAGTGATGAAATTAAATAAAGTGTGTGCACAAACGTAAATATTTGTATCACGTTTAGAGTCAAGTTCAAGTAGAGTTAGCGCGATAACCGTGGTGTTACCTTGGGGCGCTCAGAAGGAAACAGTGAAGCCACAACAAATAGGAGACATGGATCTAAGACCGGGAGAATATGTGATGCGTATTCTGTTCGCAGAATTTACTTCACAGGCAGAGAAGAAGATGGAAGCTGTTATGACAGAACATGTAAATAATCATTGAAACTTGTTATATAGTTGAAGAGAGACACTATTTGAATATATCGATATATTAATTTCAGGAAAAACAATTGTCTAAAGTTTTGCAAAGAGGGGAAGATTTACAATTCGATCAACTGTTATCAGCTTTTGGTTCGGTTGCCGAACATTGCTTGCCATCGATATTGAAAGCTCTCTTTAATTGGTACGAACGTCAGCTTGTGGAGCAAGGTGGTGATCAAAAGAAACCTGCTCCTGGAAAAGAAGATCAGAAGGGAAAAAGGTAAAAAAGACAAAAAAAAAAAAAAAAAAAAAAAAAAAAAAAAAAAAATATATAATGAATTTTTATAAAGATATCAATAAACAATCTATTATTCCAGCATTATGTACACCATAGTATCAGGTAGTGTAGAGACGGTTGAAAGAAGCGAGGCAGACCTGTTGCAAGAGCGTAGAGATCTTGCTGTGGAATTCATATTTTGCTTGATGCTGATTGAGGTTTTGCGCCAGTTGCCATTTCATCCCGGGCATGAAGATCTAGTAACTTACATAGAAAACATCGCTTTCAAACATTTTAAATATAGAGAAGGGTGAGAATTGATTCAGTAGAAATGATTTTACACACGAGGACAAAATTTAACAATTTCTAAAAATGTTTAGCATACAAAACGAACCGAATGCAGCGAATATTCACATTATTGCTGATCTTTATGCTGAAGTAATCGGAGTTCTGGCGCAATCCAGATTTATGTCAGTTAGAAAACGTTTTATGGTGGAACTGAAAGAATTACGAGCTAAAGAACCAGGTCCTCACACTACACAGAGTATTATTTCCTTATTGATGGGGATGAAGTTTTTCCGAGTTAAGGTAATTATTAGACTGATAACATAAAAAACAAAAAGTTTTAGATTATTCAATCGTATTTTTCAATTTTATGTATTCTTGAAAACTAATTTTAGATGGTACCGATAGAGGAGTTCGAGGCATCATTTCAATTTATGCAAGAATGCGCTCAATATTTTCTGGAAGTGAAGGACAAAGATGTCAAGCACGCTCTGGCTGGTCTATTCGTTGAGATACTTGTTCCTGTTGCTGCTGTAAGTGTTCTCATTACAAAAATCTAATGTTTTGTCATTATTGCTCGATGTAATCTAAATTTTGTTGCCTTGATTTTGTTTTAGGCTGTGAAAAACGAAGTAAACGTGCCGTGCCTGAAAAACTTCGTGGAAATGCTGTATTCAACAACACTGGACATGTGCACGAAGTCCAAGCACAGACTGGCGCTCTTTCCACTAGTAACTTGCTTGCTCTGCGTCAGTCAGAAAACGTTCTTTTTACAAAATTGGCATTACTTTTTAGCTATGTGTTTGTCCCACTTGAAGAATCGCGACCCGAAAATGTGTCGAGTTGCATTAGGTATGATCGAAACTACTTTTACACTGTATACATTATTTTCTCTTCCTCCTTCGAAAAGACTATAAAAAATACTTTTTGTGTTTATTTTGTTGTACAGAGGCTTTGTACCGTTTGCTCTGGGTATACATGATACGAATCAAGTGCGAGAGCAATTCGGCCACGCAGAGCAGACTGCAGAGCATAGTAAATTCTTTGTTTCCCAAAGGATCAAAGGCAGTGGTGCCGCGAGATACGCCACTGAACATTTTCGTCAAGATAATTCAGTTCATCGCGCAAGAACGATTGGATTTCGCGATGCGTGAGATTGTGTTTGACTTGCTGTCCGTCGGACGACCGGTGAAGATCATTTTAACGCCCGAACGTATGAGCATCGGTCTTCGAGCGTTTCTCGTTGTAGCCGATAGTTTGCAACAGAAGGAAGGAGAGCCACCAATGCCGCGTACCATGGGTGTATTGCCGAGCGGAAACACTATGCGTGTTAAAAAGACGTTCCTGAACAAGGTATATATGACGCAATTTTTACGCGTTTAAAAAACTCGTAGTATTCGTTTCAAATAATTCAACGTGTTGATATTTAGATGCTGACGGAAGATACCGCACGAAGCATAGGAATGTCTTCGTATTTCCCGCACGTGCGCCGAGTGTTTGTGGACATTTTGCGCGCGTTGGACGTTCACTATGGCAGACCTCTCATGATGACCAGCACTCAGAATATGAACAAGGAGCCGGACGAGATGATCACTGGGGAGCGCAAGCCTCGAATAGATCTCTTCCGCACTTGCGTCGCCGCTGTTCCGCGACTGATACCCGATGGGATGACCGGAGCGGAATTGGTGGATCTATTGGCTCGTTTGACAGTGCATATGGACGAGGAATTGCGCGCTTTGGCGTATCAGAGTCTGCAAACTCTGGTGTTAGATTTCCCCGATTGGCGGCAAGACGTTGTACTTGGATTCACGCAGTTCTTAGCCAGGGATGTGCAAGACACATTCCCGCAACTCATTGACAACGGGTTGAGAATGTTGTTGCAACTGCTGACTAGTTGGAAAAACGCGCTAACAAGTCCTAGTATAAGGTCTAAAGAACAATCGGTGGATACTACACGGATGAGTACGCGAATAGACGTTGGCGTGAAAAAATGCGAATCAGGACAGGTCTGTATTGATTTTTGTTATATTGATTTAATAAAACTGATAAGTGACAACATGTGCATAAAATTTTATGTGATTTCTCATTTACAGAAAGTAGAATCTGTGTCAAACATATTCTATTTGGTCGAAGGTTTCGCCTTGGTTATGCTGTGCAACTGTCGTCTTTATCCTCGACGACTGGCTGTTCACATTCTGCGGGAAGTTAAGCTTTTATTAAAGACTTTGGGTAATTTTTTTTTATATTTTACATTTATTACAAGATGTATGTACGTATGTTTTGCGCACATTTGTTATCTTCTTGTTTTTAGGAGGACCTGAAGATGATCAACCTGTTATCGACGTAATTGACGCTTGCTGTCCCGCCGTCTTGGAGAAATGTTATCCCATGTTGCCGCCAGCTGAAAAAGCTGCCGCCGCATCCACGTCTAACGTGGATCTGCAATGGATAGCGGACAGGAGTAGTTGTGTTTGGACAGCTGGTATTTGCGATATATATTTTTTGCTATATGTAGATCACCAGATGTTACAGTTATTACATAACACTGATTTTATCTCGCAGGATTTCACGACGAAAACAGCACCAAGAGCTCTTCGTCACTTAATCTAAACGGAGCTGATCCGTGGGCTAGCTGTTTGTTTGCATTTCTGGAAAAAGATCGAGTACTCACGCTATGCCCGAACGCCGTTGCTCATTCTTGGCCCATTGTCTTCACTCGCATAAATTCTCTGTTCTCAGTAGTGGATCCCACGTAAGATCAAGCTTTTGCAATCACAACTTTTTTTTTTTTTTTTTTTATATTAGATATGAATTTACACATCTCGAGATATGATTCGAATCTTCATTATTTTACACACAACAGTCCGGTAAATGACAACCGAGCTTCGTTATTGAGAAGTTCGACGGCTGTGAGAAAACCGGTGAACGAGAGAGATGTTTACATGCACATATGGAAAAATTATCTGACTTTCGGGTACAGAGTTGTGCCGCCCGTACCGAATCCGGTTGTTCGATGCGCCAGTCCAGATCTGAGTCTCAGGTAAGTTGGCACAATGTACTAAACATAGACATTCATATATCATATTATATCATATTCTTATTATTGTTATTATCTTACTTTTTAATAGTTTTTCAATTTCATTCGTGCTTATTATATATATCATTCGATAAAGTACGCGTGCATTGCTGTACTCGCTGCAACTCGTAGAACTTAACGTTTCGAACAATAAATAAAAAATATCTCATTCAAATACATCTGCATCGAGACACGCGATGCACACGACTTGTCTTTGCGTTAGTTCGATAGGAAGTTTCAATAAAATTCTTGATAATTATATAAGTTTCACGTTTATAGTAATACATTAGAGAGCTTTAAATGTATATTTATAAAAAATAAATCACTAGGAATAAGGTCAATATCATTTGGTATTAATTGGTGTTGGGTCATATTTGGTTCACAAAAGTATCTCACGTGTATTCGCATACTTGTTTCGAAAAATGTTAATAGTATGAGTCGTAATAATATTTTACAAAATTTGATAAAATAGTTTATGTGTGATATCTTTTACTCCAATTGTTATTTTTCACATCCCAGTTGTTAGAAAACTTTACAATCTTTATAAGATTAAACTCAAATAAACCGGCGCCAATTTATATCAAACTCGCGCTTTGCACTCGGGAGCGGGATCCACATTTGCTCTTGTCCTTTTTTTCTGTGCACATTTACATTACGCTTTTATTTTTTCGCAACATCTTACGCATGCTTTCTCTTGTCGTACTCGTGTCTCGTACATCTCTCTTTCTCTCTATCTCTCCCTCTCATTCACTCTGGATATTAGAGTAGTAGTCTCTGAGCAGTAAATAATGTCTGATACAAGGAGCATTGGTGGTACACTGTATTGCATACTCTAGTGGTCAGCATACGGTGGAGTTTGGTGTGTTGTGCATGAGTAAGGAGTTGAGTCAGAGCCTGGAGAATCTCGGCGGGGCGCAGACCCTGCCGGGCCGATTCTCTGTACCGTCCATTTCCGGCATCTACACCCGGCACAAACGTACCAGGTGAGCCTGAGATTAACAATCGCAAAAAAAACAAAAAAAAAAACGAAACGACCACGCTTCCTTCGATGTCACCCGGGATTTAAACGGTCGTTGGTAACTCGCACCATGATCTTCCACTTTTTGAATCTCTTTTTCCCTGTTTTTTTTTATTTCCTCCTGATGCAGCACAAATTGATATCTTCTTTTTTTTCTTTTTTGTTTTTTTACATCAAACTTTAGCTTCGCGCTCTTGCCGGCCTAACAGTCTTCTTTTTTTCTCTTGAACTTGCGTGTTCTCTTCGCCTTATCTTGCCTTACGACCGTTCCCGATCGCTTGTTTTGCGAGACCTAAACTTTGTTGACCGTTATTTGAACGCACTGTTTATGAGTTTTTAAATCTTTGTTTACGAAGACTGGGGATATGTGAGAAGTGGTGAAACGCAACAACTTCACTTTTACAGCTCGTCGCCGGACAGTCTGTCCGCGGAACGCGGTGACAACAAATCGCCGGGCACGAACGCCAGTCCTGCAGCTTTGTACAAGTTGACCGTACCTCTGCTGAGATGCGAGGCCATCGATGTCAGGGATGCTGCGGTCCAGGCGATCGGAAAAGTAAACGCCGATGCTCTGAAGTAAATATTCTTCTGTCTAAAACTTTTGAATTAGATTAACAAGATGACGAACGATTCTCGACGATCTACTCGTTGCAGGGATTTCATGGAAGAACTAGTTCCTTACATCCGCGAGGCAGTTGATCGAAAGCAGGAGAATATGAGGCGACGAAGAAGACGCGACGCATTGAGACTGCAGCTGGTACGAGTGTTGGAATTAATCGCCGAGTACGGAACATTCGGAATCTGGTGAGTTACATCGTTTTATTTTTTTTTTCTTTTTGTCAATAATTGCAAAACTAAACTCACAAAATTGTTGGGATATATTTTTCAGTCCAGCGGTATTAGATCGCGAGACACAGTCTTTACATCCAACGTTCGTCGAGTATATAGATGGCGCTCGCATCTATCTTGAAAATGAGACCGACAAGGAAGCACCCGCAGTACGAGACATCAAGTTACACTTCTGCAATTTTATTAGAAAAATGATCAAGAGCTTCTCATGTAAGTAAGGTTTTATTTTATATATTTTTGTTTAGAAAATATTTACATGTGTCATTAGCTGGTTAATTATTACCTTCATCTCGTGTTTTTTTTTCAGTGGAAACATGTTACACCTTGCTGAAGAGGGATTTAAGAAGAAATTTATTCATGCTGTTTGCTAGTTGGGCCGGTGTTTACGGCAGACCGCTCACGACCACATCGTCCTTGCAAGAGGAAGAAAAATCTTGCACCGAATTGCAACTTTCGGCCTTGCAAGCTATGAGCGGATTACTCTGTTGCGGATCGTGCTTCAATCCTCAGTCGCTCTCGGAAGAGGGAGCGATCTTGTATCAATGGCTGGACTTATTACTAGCTAGTAAAGACGAAAAGGTAAATTCTGCAATATTTTTCTGACAGTCTGTGAAAGATATTCCATGAACACTTTCTTCTTAATATTCCAAAATCACAGAAAACTGTAAATCGAACTCATTATTCATTCATTAGATACATTGACAGAACTAGGACGTTTTGACGAATACATTTTACATATCTTATTTCAGATCTATGCACTTGCGCGTGAAACTGTGGTGTTACTTCTCGAGGGAAATCCTGATATTGGCACACTTTTGGATTGGGTAGTGGATCGATGTTACACCGGTGCGCCGCAAGTTGCCGATGGCTGCTTTCTCGCTTTGGCGACAATCTTCAGTGCCAGGTGTGTATGTGATAAGAAATCTTCTGTCTTAAATTTATTAAGTACATTATACATAAAAGTGTGTTTATCGAGTAGAAATAAATGAGATATGTAACAAGAATCGCGCGAGATATACGCGAGATATACGATTCTCTGTATTGACGTAACACGGTAACATATGAGCAACATGTGAAGAAGTATTTCTCATTTTCTTTTTCAGAGAATATCCTTGTGACCACTACACGAGTGTCATCAATGTTACTCTAATGAATACAGGATGTCCACGAGCTCCAGTTCACGATGCAGCGCTTCAACTTCTTCAGTTGCTCGATCAACGCTTCTTTGGTAACGTGGGACCACTTCCGGCTACGGAACTAGAGGCTGGTAAGTTTTTATAATTTTAATTTTATTTTTTCATAATACTGTCACGGTGTGTCGTATATATTTTCTGATTGTTCACTTGTAACACGCATTATTGTGACACTTGTTCACTTAAATATTCACAATAAATTTAATGTTTTTGTATTATTCGTTTATTGGAGGCTTTTCGTCTGGTGTCGTTGAGAGCTTTTGTGTTTCTTGAGCGTCTTTCGGTTGTTCATCGAAATGCGGTCGCTTTGTCGAACTGTATCTACGTGTAGAATCTGAAACTAAAAGAAAAAAACAATGTGAACTTCTATCTCATATCGAAGAAAACTTTTTTTTAGTCATTAAATTTATTTGTAAACATCACGTAAATGCTCATTAGATAATGAAGTACTTACAACTTCTTCCATGATTAGTCATGTGCAAAAGAGTTCCGTTTCTTCTTCTATCTGAATGCTTTACGAACATGCGAATCATTGCGTTGCGAAAATTTCGCCCGCCTACGCAATAAAGAACAAAGTTTATGCCAAAACTCGTGGTATATATCTGATAGCTTAGTTGTTGCGCCCGAAAGAGCCATGTTAAGTGTTGTCTGTCCTGAATTTACAGAATTGTACAGGTATGGTAAATCAATCGATAAAACATTTTTTTTCAACGTCTTATAAATATTTATATACGTACGTAAAGAAACCCGATCAGCCTGAAGACGCACGAAGGCATGTTGAAGCAAAAGAACGCGCTCGAAACAATCAAGAGCATTTTCGTAACTTTGGTTTGTGGTATCCTGTCCCGAGGATTCTGATTGTCGCTTGAGGTGGTGGATTCGATAGTCATAGTTCTTCGTATGTGATCGGACTTGTAAATGTTGCGCGCTATCAGAGTATTAAAGATCACTATTATAGTCAGTGGCACGGCAAACGTTATGACGGTGTCACTGATGTTGTAAATGTTCGCCCAGAACGCCCAGTCCTTGTCCAAGTCGCACCGAGTCATGTTGCGTACGGTGTTCGATTTACAAAACAGGATTACCGGGCTGCATAGAAAAATCGCCGATGCTGTTAACCCGATCACCACAATCCTCGCTCGAGCGACCGTGCACAAGGACCTACGACGAAGCGGCCACTTGACGGCGATGTATCGCTCGACAGTGAAGGCCACCACAAGCCACACACTGAGAAAGGAAAAGACGTGGCCTAAGAAAGTGAAGAACTCGCAATAGCCCGGCTGATTGAACAGTTCTATTTTCACTATAGTGAGCCAGGAAACGAAGACTACTATCAAGTAGCCGCTATCGCTTGTTGCTAGCGCGCCCAAGTAAATGCTAGACGAGGCGTAACGTAGTTTCGTGCCGAAGAACACGCACATCGACAGACAGTTGCCCAGCAGACCAAGATGTACAAGAATCGGCGTGTAATACCGTTGGAGGAACAAAAGAAATTGGTCGATCCATTTCGTGCTGTTGCTCGCCTCGATCATTCTCGTTGATTTCTTGTCTAGTATGTTAACTGTCATCAATGAAAAGAAAAGCAAAAAGCGGTATAATCGCGCCGAGCGTGCGACACATAACAACATGCGTCATGCATAATGACCTGAAAGAGCGTCATAATTGGTACGTTCAATACGGAAAGAGATATATGTAAACTGGTCGCGTCGTTTCCAAACTTCAACGAAAATTTTATTTTCAGAGAAACAGTAAAGAAAACATTCGAATCGTCTGCAAAGCAACTTGACGTTGAAAATCAAAAGCGCCTGGAGAATTGTGATTTACATTTTGAACAAATAAGAAGATACGCGTCTTGATATTTTTGTGCTTCTCAATTAATTTATGCATCTCACTATCTTCAGACCTACTTATTGAGAAAAGAAACGAGAATAAAGCCAGTGACATTCCGATCAATTAATTCATTATCGCTCGATCGAGCTCAAGTACTTTGTGTTTCATATCGCGCTTCATTAGATTAGAAAAAAAAAATGCATTATCTCTATCATTTTATGAAAAACACATATGGAGGGAATTTGCTTCGCGCACTTATCGCACGCGTATGAGGAAATCCTCCTTGCACTAGATACGTTAACAAATCATTAGCGTCATTGCGCGTCAACTCTGTTGATTGTCGCGATTGCGATATGTTTGGACGCACGATTTGCTTGCAATAAAATTTCACTTTATTATTGCATTGACTTACACGCAAAATTTTGCTAATGATTTCTTTTTCCTCCACATTTGGTTCGTCGTAAATTGGAACTATCTTACGTGTGCGATTATACGATGACAGTAAGAAAATTCTTATCTGTGTGTCTTGTACACGTTATTGCAAATAATCCCGATCTGATTTGCAATCTTGCAATAACCAGCTCTTTTAATCGCGAATAAATTATAGTGCACACGATTACGTAGAAGATGCGTTGTTAAACTAACATTCGCTAGTGACGTTTACACTGTCATACGATACTTACATGCTGAAAATAAACACGGCGAATCTGATATCTTCAAATGTGTTTTTCTTTTTTTTAATTTATAATTCTCTTTTTAAACAAATTTTATATGTGAGACGAATAAACACAAGTTCTGGGATATTTTTGAAATCTCGTGATTCTTTCGGCTATCTGAAAATATTGAAAAAATAGCAGAATTAAGGAAACATTTTCTAACTGTTCGCTAAATACAAGAAAAAAAATATGTAACATTTTATTAAATTGTTTAAAAAACATTTTATTAAATTTACTTTTTAACATCTCAAGTAGTCGCGGAAGAAGTTCCGCGCTTCGTAATATCAACGACAATTGAATGCGTACCTGTTCAATTGAGGTAAAAGTAAATAAATAATATATTTGCGAGAGATTTGTGCGGTCGCAATCTATCTAGGCTGATGTCCGGATTTTGCAGACGCTTTTATGAAACTGTGACGAAAGCTTCTTTTAACTGACTCTCCAAACACTCTTGACCGTTGATGTATTTGTATATATAGAAACCAGTAAAGCCATTAATATCACGTACATTATTGTCGTTTCAGAAATAAACGAGGACTCTTTGCGTCACGTGACATTGTCGATGCGCAAGATTTGATATCTCTTTGTTCAGACTCACGCATTAATTATTGTGTCTATAATAAATCCTTGATTTACATTTTAACAATCGAATTTAGCAGCAAGTAAATAATCGCCACACAATAGATTCATCATTACATAATGATTGCAACACGCGTTAATAGTTTTTTTTGTTTTGTTTTGTTTTGTTTTGTTTTGTTTTTATTTTTATTTTTCAAAGAAAAGAAAACGAGATGAAACTTGTGTAACATCAAATTTTTAATAACAAGGATACTTTTACTTCAACTATTAATGTTTGGCACGCACTTTGACTTTCGAGCACTAACTTGTTACACTTTCCAAGTACGTATTCGAATGCCGGCTCAGCTATTTCTGCTAGACGCCCGGCACATCCATTTCTGATAAAGCCCGATGCATTGAGAATTCTGGCTTCTGCGCATCGGGGGCAATATACAAATTCCCGCCTCTTCCCGGCGCGCATCAATCTGTCATATCGCGAACGAGACGTTTCGTTTTCGCGATTAATGCTCATCTGTATTTTTAATATCACGTTTTGCTTTCGCAGAAAAACATGAGAGTTTTTTTTTTATCATCAGAGTTTTGAAAAGTTCACATTCTTTTAGATGACATTTATTTTTATACAAAAAGTAATGTATGAAAAAAAATACATATTGGCAAGGAAATATGTTTCCTTTAATTAATTTAATAAATTAGTTTAACGAGTACATGCGTTAGATTTGTCCGACGAAAAGCTATTTCTATCTATATAATACGTCATTTATATAATCAGAACGCGCGTTGAGACTTATTGGAGCTTATTCAGTGCAAAACGTGCTTAATTTGGGAATTTATAACGTAAATACGCTGTTTAAAGTTATAGATTGTTAATTATTGTCGAAAGTAATTTATTAATTTTACGCTTGGCGTCTCTGCATTCCGATATAATAAATATTGTCGAGAATTATTAGTACTAATTATTACACAACATTGTTTTACAGGTATTTCTTGCGTCCTTTATCTTGTTACCGTATTTGTTTTTGCTATCTTTTAATGAAAATTCGTAATTTTCACAAAGTTCATAAAACTTTTCTTGTAAGCTGTGTATCCATTGTGGAGATTCCACAAGAAATCTGTAGTTGATTCTTGATAAAAACATTGAATCTCACAAAAACATATCTCGTCTTTGACGTTTGATTATGATAATTATTATGAAAGTAGAATTCCGTGAAAAGAAAATTCTACGGAAAATTGTGGAAATTTTGAAATGGAAATCTTTTCCTGAAGCCACACAACTCGGCCAATGAGCCAATCTGTTGAACTTTCTTGTTGATTCAACAATTTGAAACTTCATTCTGTTGCAGCGCACAATGATCCCCTCGCAAGTTCCACAGCCACCGTGACTTCCGGCCCGGGTCAACAGAGTAATCCCGCAGGTGAGATTTCCTCCGGCGGCACAATTAGAGGTGGCACACTGGACGTGCTTTTGTCAACGACTTATTGCCGCAGTCAAATGTACCTCTCACGTCAACTGGCTCAACTACATCCGGAACTTACGATGCCGATGTTTAGCGGTAAGTGGATCTCCACTTTGTTTATTGATCCTTTCAATCTCGATCCTCTGAAAGCTTTACGTTATATTCCAAACTATCGTCAATGTGTGTATTTTGTCGAGAAGTCATTTTGCAAGAGAGAAAATTTGAGGGAGAACTAAAATTAGATCGCATTGAAAACTGTTTTTTTTTTTTTTTTTGAGTAATTGAAGAAGTAAGAGATATTGTGAATTTTTTAAGTGCATGTTTTGAACGGAATGTGTTTAAAAAATTTACACAAAATTAAATAACTGAAGATTTTTTTGCGATCATTTATTGAATATATTTAATATGAATTGTAATTAATGGGGACCCCATCATCATATGTTACATCATGATGTTTATCACCGTTACATTAGAGTTCCGAAACTTCAGTATCATCGCATTCAATACATATTCTCTATGTGTAAATTGGCACGACCACGATAAAGCCCCAATTACGAACTTTTTGGTTTACCAATTAATTGTTTCTCAGTCCAAAGTTCAACTGCACGTATTAAAGGGAACCGAGACACAAAGACACTCGGTTACCCTTTGTTGTTGCATATAAATCGCGCGCACAACGAAATAGTCAAAGATACTGGCGATTATGCGGAATCACGTTTATGGTCGAATATGCTATTCGCGTGTTGCGAAACACACACACATGTTTAATACGATCTTGAGACAGAATCGCACTTCAGATATATGCGTGAATAGTCCGGTGCACAAATGTAATTCAAGACATGATAAACGCACACAACAATTATCACACGACTGGTTCTCATCGATTAGGTATTATCCGGGAGGCGTGTTGTTGTTTCCAATACTGTGTAATAATAATATTGAGGTATCGACAGATTTGCGTTTTAACACTACAACCAGAAATAGATTCTTGTCAAAATATTTACAGGCGAGGAAAACAAAAAAGAGTATTTTAAGAAGTTTTCTTATTTTTCCAAGATAAAAGGTTTGTTTTATTTCCCTGAACTAGTTGGCACTAGTTCAGAGTTTATAGTTTTTCTTTTAATATGAATAAAAAAAAAAAAAAAAAAAAAAATGGACCGTGAATTGGTGCAGGGAAATAAAACAAACCTAAAGATTTCAATGACCGGACCAAGTGCCACTTGGCCGGACCTATCGGAGAAATAATTACCACAAAGTATTTATAAAATTCTGAGACTTGTTACTTATTATTTACATATCTAACAATTGTTTTCTTTAATAAATGTTTGTTTATAATGTCGTTGGGACGTTTTACTTAAAATAGTTATTTAAAACAAAGAAAAACATGTTGTTGCGGTGAAGTTCGCGGAAAATGCTTCTTAAAATTTGTAAACTCGTATAAGAGCTTTGACCGTGACCAATCTCTTTGCGAATTAAACCGTTTAACTACTACCGCTTCTCTTAATGAGCTTGGAAATTAGCAATGACATTTCCAAGTTTGCATAAAACGCGTTTGCAGAATTGCTGTCGTCTGTTTTAATTTCATGACGCATTCTCTGACACAGTGTCGGCGATGTGGACAACGTTACGGAGTAAAGGTTTTATAAAAAGAGTTAGAGAGACAGAGAGAGAGATAGAGAGAGATGGAAGTTTGAGTGCGATGATGATTGACGTAAAATAACTAACTCTATTGCGTGAATTACTGTCTCGCACGTTTCCGTAACTGGTTAAATCCTTTTGATTTAACGCGCTTGAAATAACGAACGAGTTTGCTTGCGAGAACGGTGTAACATGAAACTGCAGTTTTATCAATTCTGACTGTGATATTGCGTTCGGTACAGCATGTGAAGAAATGAGAGATAAAAAAAAAAAATAAATAAAAGTCCGAGTCACTCGACGCATAAAAGGAAGTAAAATGTACGCTGTGCGTACATTATTGCTAATTATACTTTTGATGAAGTTAATTGAGAACATTAATTTCACGCGCAAAATGTAATACGGTAACGATCGAAGACCGATTTAATTCACATTTTCGCGTTTACTTTAGGCAACATGTAAAATTAAATTTTTTTTTCTCAAGTCTCTTATCTGTTTCTCCTTAAAATAATGATCGTTTAAAAAACTGATTTTAAATCGTTCAATATTAGAGGAGAAAGCATGTATAAATCATGAGCTTATCTCCCGGCGGCAAGAATACAAATTTGAACGCATCGATTGAATTCAAGCGGCGGATTTATCAGATTGCAAGAAATATCTTAATGAATATATCTCTCCAATAGGGTGCTATTAGGTGCAATATATAAGAGAGTTTTTACACGAGTCATTTTGATCGACCGACATTCGCGCGCGTTGTCGTTTCTACAAAAGAAAACCTCACAAAAAATTATTTTTGAAATTATTGTGTATTGTGATCTCAAATATGGAGAACGGAATAAAAAACTAAAATTAAAATTTACGTCAGCAATTTTATCAAAAATTCCCGTCGCGTAAAATACATTTTACGATTGTTTCTTTGATGGGATTTGTATTTTCCACATTTGAACTCCGATTACGCGAGGTCGCGATGCGACGATAAAGCGAGTTGTCTGAATAACTGCAGATAATTACACGGCAGTTACATGAATAATAAAAACACGTGGACATTATGAACTGTAAAATGATATAGAAGAAAAGAACGTTATTTACAAAGATAGAGGAAAATATCAAATGTGCCGTTTCAATATCCTGTTGTGTCTCGAATGACATGTTACATTTTGATATCCCAAAGGAAATAATATTGAAAGTGCGCTCGATCTGTGCGGCATATGTGAATTAATAAAAAATACACAAGGTAACTTCAACATACGCATCGCATTTATCGACAAAACTTAATTTATCAAGTATCATTTGCGACATGTTGGAGACAAATAAAATTCTATACCTACTTAATAGAAACATAATAAATGGCTGCGTTACTTATCGCAAGCTCGACGAATCGATTGAACTGATGACGGTTTCGTTAATATCGACAATCAAAAGATAAAATTATCGTTCATTACTGGATACAACGTAAAGGCACAAAGTGTTCGCGCGTTTATTACCTTTATTTCTTCTATTATCTCTGACCTATGCGGCGCAAATATCGGAGTTATCCCGAAACTCCAGCTTGTGAGAGAAGGAAAGAGAGAGAGAGAGAGAGAACGAATAAAAATTCCATTTATATTAAATTTGTTTGTTGAGCTGGTACCGCTGTAATTAATATTTTCGGGTTAAAGCAAGATTAAAAAAAAAAAAAAAACAAAACAAAACAAAACAAAACAAAACAAAACAAAACAAAACTCTAATGCACGAGTACTGGATTGTGTTACGCGTGTTAAAATATTCTATTTAAGGAATCTTGAGTCAGCGAGCTGACTGAGTTTAATAAGACAAAAATATCAAGCGTTGCTAAGAAGATTTAGTGGAGATAATGAGATACTCAGAGAGAGAAAGAGAGAGAGAGACAAACACAAGTAACGCGAAAAAAATGGCCGTAAAATATAAATGTTCATTAAGTTATTAATTTATAAGAAGAGAGGAAAATACGCCCAAAAAAAGGTGAAAAGAATAACTTTTAAAACAGTTATTTTTATTCATTAACTTCGTAATGTGAAATTCATATAAAGAGAATTTGTATCTCGAATAATTTATTTGCATAAGTAAAATGTACATTTCATTCTATTTTTCCGCCTTTATTAATCCTTTTTCGCTTTTAAAAAAATATACGTGCAGATTTGCAAGGATTTTCAATTATTAAATGTATCGACATGCGTGTAATTTTATCTGGTCTCATTAAACTCTACGCGAGAGCTTGGACCGGATATACGTGTATACATATATATTCTTGTTTTTAACATCTTTTGGGTTGTTCTCTAAAGTCGATGATTTTGTCTTTTGTAACCAATTTTGTAACCAATTCTCTTTGCAATTTGCGGAGTATATTTTACAGATAATATCGTTATCATCGCACACACACGACCGCAAAATTATATTTGTGAAAATAATTAAATCTTAATAGAACACACGCGTGTATTATTTCAAAAGCTGTTAAAAGGGAATTGTTAACGTGCTGCGAAACCAATTAATGAATCAATAAATTAATCGTCGTTATTAGAGCGTGTGTCGACAATATGTGTGTCACTCAGTTATCACAAGCGATATAACTTCAAATCTAATTCTAATACGATCTCTATATATAGTATATTTTAAATATATTTTACAATATAATATTTCTATATATATAATATATTCTAGATATATTCTACATCAATTTATACGAAAGTTTGTAATTAACGAACATTTCTGTTTTATTTAATAACTAATGGTGAGATATATGTTAAACAACACGCAACACACAGCGCGTTTCATTATTATAATTATATTACATTACATAGTTCGTTTTATGAAAGTTCCAGCAAGTTCGGTAGCAAATTAATATTTGATATCGAATAATATTTGGTGTTGAATAATATTTGATATCGCGCGCGCGAGCGAGAATTGTGTTGATAATAAACCATGTGGAACGCATTGCAGTTATTAACGTGCAGTTATTAACGTTTAAATCATCACCGTGACAATTTTTATCTGATGCAACTGATAAATTTGGAACTAATAAGTTTGTATTTTTTTTCTTTTCAGAAATTACACACCGATTTCAAACAGCTCGAAGGGAAGTTCGACAGTTACTGTTGCAGTATTTGCTACCCTGGTTGCATAACATGGAACTTGTCGATCCCAATGTACCGCCACCATCTAATCCACTGAGTTATTATCAGGTTATTGAAGCTCATAATTAGCTGATAATTAGCTCTAGCAGAGTGCTGCAGTAAATTATATTTTGCTCCGAGATCTCAAGCGTTTCTGACGATTTTCATCATAATGTTTGTTGTCAGGATGTAATTAGTATTTGTTACCTTTTGTTTGTTGAAATTTTTGACAATAGGTAACTTTGTGGCGCATTTGCAGTGTCTATAAATTAAACTTTTCTCGTGATATTTCTCGCGCGCAATGTGGTTTTTAAAATTAATAATATTATAAAAGCTTTTTTCAAGGTTCTGAATGAAGGTTGCTTAGAAAAAAAAATCAATGTACACGTTATGGAGATTGCTTTTAACACTTTTGCAAGTTAAACGCTCGCTGTATCTTGAATATTTTTTTCTCGATGCATTTTCAACATTGCAAACAACTCGGTTAGAAAAAAAAAAAATGAAAAACAAAACGAAAAATAAATTGGAGGCGCCGGGTATCGATCCCGGTACCTCTCGCATGCTAAGCGAGCGCTCTACCATCTGAGCTACGCCCCCCGTTGATACAGTTCCACCGCAAGATCAATATGAATCGCGCAAGTGATCTACTTTCAGTGAAAGGATCAAAAAAGAGATTTTGGAGACGCCGGGTATCGATCCCGGTACCTCTCGCATGCTAAGCGAGCGCTCTACCATCTGAGCTACGTCCCCTCGTAATCTGGATCGTTCGAGAAGTCTACTTGAATCACGATTCTGATCCACTTTTGCAAAAGAGAAGAAAGTGCAAAAGAGAAAATTTGGAGGCGCCGGGTATCGATCCCGGTACCTCTCGCATGCTAAGCGAGCGCTCTACCATCTGAGCTACGCCCCCTGTTACTTCTGACTTTAATAATCATTGTGAGAATTCATACTGGTAATCTACTTCAGGAAATTTCGAGAATTTCAAAACGCCTTGATATGTTCTCTCACGTTGGTTTACAACGCAAACCCATGTGTGTGTATGTGTGTGTGGAAGAGAGAGAGCTTCCTTTCCGTACTATATAATTATATTGAGTCTTATGATTGATCTACTTTTAGAGAGAATATATATATATATATATAATCTTGAAAGATCCTAAAATTTATTCTAGCACATGATATTTGCGAAGTAAAGAAACTCTACGTCAGTGTCTATTTCCGAGTAGAAGCTTTAAATATCGTCAAAGAAAATTCTCTGGTTTTCTCATCTCGTTGCATTTTTTTGCATATGCAGAGATTGGAAAATCACGTTTATTGATCGTACATTTTATCTTGAGCTGTTATTCGGGATTTTTTATTGTTTTTTTTTTATTTTTATTTTTTTTTGTTTTTTTGTATTTTGCTCAGATAAAGTGAGTTGATTGTTTCAGAAACGAGAGTTGATTTCAGCGAATGTGTTCAAGCACGCGGTGTGGATGTTCATGACAATTTGATTTTCCAGATTTGGAATCGCGCTGGAATCTCTTTGTTCTCGATTATTTGGGGAGAAATGGAAACGCATACCTCTGCGGGTAAACGCAATAGAGAGAGAGAGCTGCGCGCAAACTTATGAACGATATTGCGAATAACAAATACGCGATTGCCGGGAACGTTTAACACCAAAGCGCAAGCAACCGACAAAAAATCCTGGAAGGCTCAGCTGCACCAATGCACGTGCGATAAAATTTCTACTAAAAATATAACGGTAAAACCGACGTAAAAAAAAAAAACGGTAATATTGAACAAAATAAAAAACTACAAAAGTTAATACGCGAAAAAAAAGTAAAATTGTGTCGGAAATGCAATTTTCGACAGAGCGCGCAAAGTTTACAAAAAATTTCGCGCCAAAAATTCTGCGCGCGTACATTTTTTATCTTTTTTTTTTTTTTTAATGAAAATAATATTACAACATGCTGCGATATGAATAGAAAGATTGATGGCTATTTCTTGCGATCCCTGGCACGATGTTCACCTATCAATGATCATCTCTCGGTGATTTCATTAATCATCGAGATGTGGCTTTCAAAATAATGTTTAAATGGCAGAACGTTCGCTCGGCGTGCGATCGATATCCGTCGTCTCTAAAAAGATGTCTCTTTTTTTTTTTCTGTTGTTTGCTTATCACTCGATTATCCACAATCGCGATGATTTTTTCGTCGTGTCTTGATATTGCGAAAAAAATCACATTTAAAACTTGATACGGAGATTGATTAAATATTACATAAATATAAATTTTAAAGAAAAGCTTTACAATTGTGTGCGCGCATGTGTATGTGTGTGTGAATGAGATTTACGATCTACTCGTGTAATCTGAAACCAACGGGTGTAACGCGCATTTGTCTTCCATCGAACAATTATCGGCGATGGTAATAATCCTGATCGCCTCAATCGAAAGAGGATTGCAGTTCAGAATAGCAGTAGTGCGTTTGTTTTAGCTTGTGTAGTAGATGATGGCGCAATCGATTTTCAATATCCACTTTGCTTCTTTTTTTTTTTGTTTTTTTATTTCTCCACTAATATTATTATTACTTTCTCCACGTATCATTCTTGTTATTATCACGGGCAGCATTTGTTTCGCGTGTAATGAACGGACGTAAAAATCGTAAACCATTTAAATTTCACAAATTGAAATTTTCGAATAAAGCTCTCTGCGTAACCAGCCAGAGCTTTATAAGCTCGGCAGAGCTTGTTGAAAACATTCTTGTTTTTATTTCATTCAGTTAATTTTCAAACTTTAATTTTAAAAAAGCTTTTTGATATTTTTGAGTATTTTCTCTCTTTCGTACCTGTTTCAGAGAAAAATCGTAATATAAATAAAAAAAGAAAAAAAAGAGGGAGAAATCGTATCAAGAAAACGTAAGTGTAGTAATGAAATGTTGTTTACTGCTACGGGACACGCTCGACAAATGAAAGTTTTTGCAATTAATGCTGAAACAATCTTTCCCAAGAATTGCGCACATACAACAAATCCGCGATGTTTTCTCGAAATAATTTGACTTCTTTTCGCAGTATTATACGAGCGACGTGACACGTGGAGGGACGCGAAGAGAAGGTTGGGGCAGCGCAGAAGCGACGGAGATGGTGCTGAACAATCTCTTCTACATCACGGCTAAGGTGCTCGATAATTTCTCGTTCAAACAAAGCAACACCGGTATTTCATTAAAATCCTTACATAAGCGTTTGATTTAAATATTTCGCAGTTCTCAGACGAGCATCCCAAAGAGACGGAGGAGCTTTGGGCGACCTTGTGCGGATGTTGGCCAAACAATCTCAAAGTCATCATTCGCTATTTGATTATTGTCTCTGGTATGGCACCTCAAGAATTATTACCATACGTAAGTGAAACTCCGCATAAACTCACGATTGTTATGAGAAAGAGAAACAAAGTCGGATATCTAGATTTGGATGGAATTGAATTCTCTCTGTTTAGGCAAAACGCGTGGTGCTGTATCTGGCGCGGGCCCGTCCGGATCGCCTCGTCGACGAAATGATGACGGAACTGGAAACGGTCGAGACTTTGAATTGTTTAATTGAACGAACGGAAACGCCGCCCTTTTATCGGCTTACGAGCATGAGGAAAGCCTCGTCGCACAGCGACGCGCCCGCTGCCGATCCCGCTAATCCGCCCCGAGATCTTGGCGTCGAGAAGGGTACCATTCATACGAAAAGACACTCCGGAGAAGATCCCGTCAAAACTGGGTTAGCATTTTTAACAGTCGAATTTCTCGTGTGACTTTTAGCTTCTACATATACAAATCTTCTGAAAAGAAACATTAAGATATTATGTAATGTTGTAAAAACACCTTTATGTCATACAGTTCGAAATCCGACACCGCACTGCGAGCACTCGCGGGGTTTCAAACGCCAAGAGCAGAAAAAACGAGGACTGCGAGCGGTCCGCCAGTACTTCCGGATGATCTGTCAACTCCGACTACGGAAGCCGAAGTACGTTTTATAACTCAATTAAAACTTGTTTTTTATTTTTAATGATGAAAACTGAACGAAATTATCGCGAACCCGAGAAATTGCGTTATTACGAATTTAATCTGTCTTACGAAAGATGAAGAGATCTTTTAAATTACTTTAAGTTAACTACTGACGAGTCGTGCTACGTCGCTCGTAACGTGCCTCCTGGAGTGAACGGGAAAATGCCGTGCGTCGATGAGAAGTTCGATATTCCGCAACCGCATCCTTTGCCGATGCCGGAATACGGAGGCTACTTTGCACCTTTGACCGAATACTTGCCCGATAGTTCTCAACCGATAAGTGGATTTCACAGGTGATTGTGCAACTCTCTCTCCTTCACTTGATAAGATATTTAATTTCTTCAACGCATATTAATGTAATTTATAATCCATTATTGTTAATAGGTGCAACATAGCCGTAATGCTGCTCACTGACGTTGTCGTTGACGGCATCCAACTCGATTGGGCCATACACGTTCCTTTGATGCTGCACATAGTTTTCCTCGGTCTGGATCATTCGAGACCGCTGGTGCGCGATCACTGTCGTTGTCTTCTGCTGAATCTGCTGGTTGTGCTAGGCGATCACCGCGATCATCTCGGTGTGGCGCGCGTGCTCCTCGCTTCGAAGACGGAGCAACTTGGATTGGGACTGTCTACGCCAGCTTTGCCGGTGCTGGAGCACAACTTTACCGAGGTGGATCCGGAATTCGACAGTTACCTATACGGTCCTCCCTCGGCTCCGCCGCCCACAACTCCGCCGCCGTCGTCTTCGTCACCGCCGCCTTCGTCGCCACCACCACCGCCACCTCCACCACCGCCACCGCCTCCGCCGCCGATGCCTCCTGATTCTTCAACGTGTCCACCCGCACCTCCGCCACCTCCACCACCACCCCCTCCGCCGCCGTTACCGTCTTCGGCCGCGGATGTTACGCCGACTCACGCGACCTTGCTGAATTCGACGTCAACTCCGCCGGTCTCAATGAATCACGTAAATTACTCGACAACAGACGATTGTGGAAACTCTCATACGTACGGTACAGTATCTTCAATTTAATTAAAGTAGTTTACAAAATATTCTACAGTTGTGCACTTAAATGAAAACTACAACAAATCTATGTAATTTCCAAACAGACTCGACTGTGTGCAACAGTTGGCCGACTTCGAACGGAACGGCAACAAACGCGGTGCCGCCTGTCATTGTAACGCCGGAAGACGCGCATAATTGGACCGGTCCTCAGCCGGGTCCCAACATGCCGATACAAGATGTTATTAAGTCCTTAATTAATTTCCTCGCGTCTAGGTTTGTATATTAATTACCTACTCACACAGAGACAAATAAGACTCTCCTAATTCAATATTGATTTTCGTAATAGGACAAATCAACCGCTGTGGAATTATGAGGACATGACTGCCAAGGTGTGGTGGGTCCGTAGCGCCGAACAACTCACGGTATTGTTGCGGCATGTGTTACGTGTCTTCAGAGACTCGTTGCCTCACGCGTTAGTCAGTCAGAGATGGGCACAAACCGCGTTGCAGTTGGGTCTTTCCTGTTCGTCCAGACACTACGCCGGAAGATCCCTGCAAGTTTTTCGGGCATTGCGTGTTCCGATAACGTCCAGGATGTTATCTGATATTTTATCCAGACTGGTGGAAACTGTGGCCGAGCAGGGCGAAGACATGCAGGTACGATTAGACGTTTGGCTATAGCTTGAAATTTGCGATAATCAGAATGTTAAATTATTTTGTTTTATATTTCTACAGGGATATGTAACGGAATTGTTGCTGACACTGGAGGCGGCTGTCGATTCGCTCGAGTCAGACTTTAGACCGCTCGATTTCATGAAAGAAATCTTCAAATCCACGCCCAATTTAAACAACAAGGATCCCGTGTCGGGTCATGTAATCGGAGGAAAACGGAGTCCAGGAGGTGGGAATGGTTATCCGACTGGACCTCACGTGGTATCTCACTTGAATCAAGGCGGGCACACTAGAAGCACAAGTTACTCGGTCAGCTATTGTATGAAGAGATCCAGTGGTGGAAATACTGCTGTTAACGAGATAAAAGGTCATTATGATAATGCTTCTCGTTGCATAAATCACATAAATTACATCTTATAGTCATATAACTCACGAATTCTTCGAAAACTTTATTGTTGCAGAATTGGAGAACAGAGTTGGCGGCAACAAGTACCCTAATTCGAATCTCTCTAGATCGAGATCGGCGCAGTCTTTGAAATTGTTGGGTGATTCCGCGACACAGGATGATAAAATGACGATACTGGCGCAGTTGTTCTGGTTGTCGGTGTCTCTGCTCGAATCGGATTACGAACACGAATTTCTGTTGGCGCTGCGACTTCTCAGTCGCGTGCTGCACAGATTACCGCTCGATCGACCGGACGCTCGGGACAAAGTCGAGAAATTGCAACAGCAGTTACGATGGACCTCGTTTCCTGGTGTACACGCGCTATTGTTGAAAGGATGCACCAGTCCGAACACATACGAGCCGGTTGTTACGTTGCTTTCTCAATTTACACCTCTGCTCGATCTACCGGTGGTAGATCCCACGCAAAGCCTCGCGTTCCCGATGAACGTTGTGTCGTTGCTACCTTACATGTTGCTGAACTACGAAGACGCAAACGAACTTTGCATCAGAAGCGCCGAAAACATTGCGCAAGTGAGATTCGTTTCATTTATTTACTACAAAAACCCATTCATATTATTATTATATTTGTTACACGCGCTAATTTTTTTTTTTTCATACAGGTGAGTGCAGAAAAAGGAAAGAAATTGGAAAATCTTGGCACAGTCATGACTTTATACAGCCGCCGTACTTTCAGCAAGGAAAGCTTCCAATGGACCAAATGTGTGGTGAAATATCTGTACGATTCGTACGCTCATCTCAGCTTTGACATGCTCGCATTTCTCGTGGAGTTTCTCGAAAAGGGTCCGAGCAGCGTGGCGTTGCCTGTACTCAGTATTATACACTGCATGCTGCACTATGTGGATCTGGCGTCCGCAGCCGCGCAGCCGATCAATACCGAGCTCCTAAGAGTAATATCCAAATACGTTGAGGTAAATCTGCATATCTTAATCTCTCAATATATTGATTGTGAAATTTATATCATGTATTCGAGTGTATAACTCTATCTAATGAGCAAATCAATTATCTGCTTTAGGGCGCTCAGTGGAAAGAAGCGCTCAAGATCTTGAAGCTTGTCGTGACGAGATCGTCGACGCTCGTAGCACCGCCGACGTCGATGCACGGTTCGTCTTGGGATTCTTCACTGTCGTCGCCGCATCCTAGCTTCACCGACACAGAGATATTCACCAAGAAGGAATTACCGGGTAAAGTCAACACTTTCGTATACTAATTAACAATTGATAGGTTTAATATTTTGTTAATCTATTAATTTTTCTTAAGTGTGTTATATAGATTTTGTTTTCTCTCTTTTTGCAACGCGGCATGCATACACGGCACACGGATGATTTGTTACGTAATATCCGTAGGTTGCGACAAGAACAACAATAGCAATAGATTGTAACATCGCGCTCTTCGTAGAATAAAACCATTTTTCTCAATAATCACAAATTACATTATGTTTAATTACATACGTAGCTGCTACTTGTGCTTCTTAAACATTTACGAGCAATATCTGGAATTTTCAAGATACGTAAGAGTTTCTTTGGTGAAGCTAAAGTTTTCAAAAAAATGCTAATAAACAATCTCACTTTTTTTATTTTCAAAAAGAAATATAGGCGCTTATTTTTAAAGCGTGGCTCTTTCTCGCAATGTTTCGACTGAATGTTTGTTTTACGTATGTAGGAAGGACAATGGACTTCACATTCGACTTGTCTCAAACGCCAGTGATTGGTCGACGCTGGTTAATACGCCAGGGTACCGAGGAAAAATCAATCGGTTCTCCGCATTGCTCGTTATCTTTGTCTCCGGCTGATAATAGTGCCATCGCGGGATGGAAGAAACCTTGGATGTCACAAGTACGTAGTTTAGCTAGCGATTCGAATAATAAGATTGTTCTTTATAGTGTCTATGTAATCACTGATTGCGAAATTAAATTAAATTAATTTCTTGAATACAGGGTCGTGTCAGAGAATGCCTGGTGAATCTCTTAACGACGTGCGGTCAGAGAGTTGGATTGCCAAAGAGCCCATCGGTACGTTTTTATTCGCGATGCACTTTCAATCTAGTAAAATTCGAGTAGCATCTTCTTTTCTATCTTCTACGGTTTTTGCGCGAATTATCAAAAACAAAAAACAAAAACGCAACTTACTCTCATTATGTACCCCTTTTTAGGATGAGCACATTAGTTCAATGACATTGTATAGCAAGGTAAAAAAAGGTTACTTCTAAATGCAACAATCAATGCACAATGTATCTCACGATAGTACGAGTATTATTTTGTACTCGTTAATTTTACAGCTGTGTAAATCGTACTAGCGTCACGCTTCAGTTCAGTTAGCTTCATTAAAAATGTTTTTCACTCGCACACCGTTGCAGGAATATATTTCTTCTCTTGCGTCTGTAAACTCGAGATGTATGTAACGCATACAGATTGCTGTATATATTAATTGTCGCATCTGCGATTTTTTCTTCTCGAAGACTTGCTGAATCAAGATATTGTTGCTTAGAATCTGAAAGCGCAGATAGTTGTGAAAGCACTCTTGTACTGTGCAGTTGTATCGTCATTGTGTACGACACGAATATACGCACAATTGCTGATCAAAGTAAATTCACGTAGTTCGTCAGAATTGAGCTATTGTCGAACTGTCAGTCGACTGTTTTTGATGTTTTTTTTTATACGCTTTTTGTTGATAATAATATAATTCGTTCACAGGTGATATTCAGTCAAAGTTCGGACTTGATGGAAAGACAATCGTCCATGACTTCCTCCATGGAAGAGGTTTCTGGCGCGAACAACGATCTGAGCGGAGGATCTAGACGAGACGATGAACAGTTTGGCGTCTTCAAGGACTTCGACTTCCTTGAATATGAAAGCGAAAGTGTTGAGGCAAGATCTTGTTGCTTTAATTGTAATTTTTTTTTATAAAGAATAATTTTAACGTCGACTTTGTTGATTATCATCTCACAGGGTGAGAGTACCGATAACTTCAATTGGGGAGTTCGACGTCGTCCTCTTAGCGAGGGAGAAGAACGAGAACCAAGTCTACGTCATTTCGAGGAAAGTTTGAGCGAAAAGACACCATCGTCCAGCAAACATACAACGCGGGTACGCGAAATTAGTTTCTATTAGATTTTTTTCTCTTTATTATATTTTATGTTATTTCTTTAGATTTTGATTTCTTTTCTTAGTCGTTTTTAATTGTCGAATTTTATCTGCACAGCGTGGTGTCGCGGAAGAGTCATCAGACGACGAGGCCGGATCGGAATCACCGTTGGACGAAGTGCCGGGAGGATCCGGAACGAGCCAGGAAGCGAACAGTATTCCAGGAATGTTCCCGCCGTCCTCCCTTTCGTTGATACCCAGTCGAACGCGCCACGACTCATCCACAAGGTCTGACACATCGTAAGTTTCTGTGTGAAAGCTTTTGAAAGCGCGCATATTAATCGATTTACTTGAATTCTTCAATTACAGCGGCTCGAGCGCGGGAGATCTCGGTGATGTGACGCCCTGCAACGCGTCGCCCAATCTGTCCGCTTTGATGCCTTTCCGACAGGTTGTACGGGACGATGCCGAGGAAATCTGGAGACAGCAAATTCAAAGTCTTATCACTCAAGCTCCGTACAACACTTTGAGCTTCTTCCAGTTGCTGAGCAAAATTTTAAGAGTAGGTATTCTGAAGAAAACTTGCTCATCAATCGTTGTTCAAACTTTATAGTTTACGAAAAATATTTGTAAATTACGTAATAATTTCAACAAATTTATGCGAAAACATGAAAACATTCCGTTTCGTCAGGATGTGAGCAGTAAGTCGGTCGGTCTTACACGCGAGTCGAGCGCTTTGCTCTGCAACGGCAGCCCGGCATCGGCCCATCTGGGTTGCCACTTATCTAGTCACGCCGAGCTGCTCAGTACGAAAGCCGAGCCGCCTCTGGTGTGGTTCTCAGTGGCTATATTCGCGAATCAACGATTGAACGAAACGTTGCGTTTTGGAATGCTGGAAGTGCAGGAACATCTCGAAACATTTTTGGACAGGAAGGACCACGCCACAGAAGTGAGTTTTGTCAACCACGTGTATTTCGTAATAAAAACGTTTTAAAACAAATTATCGCAATATTTGATTTTTTTTCAGTGTTTAGAGGCAGCTAAAGCAACCGCCAAACTTCAAGCGTTAGGCGGCAGTCATACCACGGAAGCGGGCGTCGAGGAGATGCTGTTAGACCTGGGCCGAGCGCTCTACAAGCTCCACTTTCAGCTTTTGTTGCTGATCGAGGCATCGAACAAAATGCTAGGAGCGCTAATGAACGCCGCTAGAAACGTACAAATTCCCTTGCAAGATCTATCCGTCGAGATTGCCAATATGAAAATAGCTTTAAGCAGAGCTCTCGAGGAGAGCACCGAGAGCGAACGTGGAACACCCACTCCGACACCAAGTCCTAGTCCTCTACCGGGTATCGGAGCTGGGGAGGAAGTCGCCCGAGTTGCCGAACTATTGAGAAACGCTCGATGGTGTCCGGCACTCGAAGCCGTAAGATTGCACAGGGCGCAATGGCCCGGAGATCCTTTTCACGACGACGATGATGTAACTACTGCTGTTAATATGTATTGCAAGTACATAGGTCAGGACAGATCGGGTGAGTTTTTCCACAATCGCGTTAAATAATTTACAGTTTTACACGCATCTTTTTATATGCGCTATTATCATCATGTTTTAGATATATTCGTGGTGACAAGGAAAGATGAGGAGATGTCAGAAATATTTGGCAGACTGATGGAAAGCTTGTTCGAGGTATTGGCGGCCGTAACGGGACTGGAAGCGTCTACCAAAGCAGCGCGCAATCAGCATGACCACTCTAATCACTCCAAAAATGACTGTTAAAATAAGCTTTAACGACTTAGTATTTAACGTAAGTCGGCGTACATGTATCGGTATAATTTAATTCCACAGTAGTTCACATATATGATTGTTTACATTGTGTATGTGTAGGTATCTTGTATACGATAATAGATAAATTATATATGTACATTTTTCTAGTGCTCTGCGCCAAACTAATTCACAAACTGCTGATGTTACATAGCTGCGTTTTTTTCTTACAGAAGTGATTTCGAGTGATTTTTATATGAGACAAAGATCTCGTTCCCACGGTGAGGAAAAAAATCTCTGTCCTATACAAAAAAAAAAAAAAAAAAAAAAAAAATCGCAGGAATGTAATGGTAGCCTGTTTTCGCAAGTTGACGATTCCTTTTGGCGCGGTGTACAAGGCGCTATTTCATATGTGTTTTCACTTTATCAGGATCAAGAGTCGCTAAATAGTTTGCGCATCTCGCTTTATTTCCGGATATTTTTATATTCCATGAAATTCCGAATATATAAATAGAAGGAAAATATCCAGAAATGAAGAGAGTTCGGCACGCGGAATATGCAATGATTCTCGATCTGGCAAAGTAAACACGTATATGAGACAGCTTGTTATTTAGCTAGGCGAATATATATAACGAATATATATATATCTATGATATTTAATATATAACGTGTATGTTGACGACTCTCTATGTTCTGTTTTTTAATGCGACGAACGTAACTTATCGACTGTAAATTCGACAGAATAAATAATCGAAAAATCTCGAACACGCGTGATATTTTCTGTGCGAGTTGTTTTCCAATAAAAATAATTTGTCCGAGATGATTGCGCGGAGGAGACGGTCGATGTACAATTCGTGGCCTGCGGAGGATCGTCAGTACCTCGCTTATTGCCAGGACGTGACGCATTTTGCGAAACGATTTGTGGATTCCGCGATCGACGCCGCGATAAGAATCGCCACCGTCATGGTTCGTTAACCTTTTGTGCAAAAAAAAACTGTGTAAATTTTTTTATTATCATTGAAACACGATATAATTTTTTCACGCATTGATTACTCAGCGCGTGAACTCGTTTACTTTAGGATCACCACGTTTCACTCAGCCATCTTGGAATAAAATGGCCCACGTGCGGCAACATGAGCGCGCGAAACGGTCTACGATGTGTGGAAAAGGAGATGTACAGATGGAACCAATTACCGGTAACAACTTTGAAAAATCGACCGTCGCGTGAAAGACGCGTAACGAATGTTACTATCGATCTTTTTCTCGGGCAGGCCCTGAAGAAATGGATGTTCCATGTACAATTCGTTAGCCTAAATCGAGAAGGGACCGTCGAATTTTACTTGTATCAGGTTGTCTGGAGCGTGCCGACGCTTGCGTATCCCGAGCCATATGTGACCGTCAGCGTGTTCTTCTATATCGCGGCGAGTCGCGTGCAGCCGCCGCGCTTTCCAGTCGACGTTAGTTTGTTATGTATATTTTCAGCTCTCTCCCCTCGCTCGTTCGCGTCGACGGGAACAAGCGTATCTGGATAATATCAGGAATCGCTTTAACACATGCTTTATTACACAGCTCGAACGTGTAATGTAATAGAAATATTTAAAGATGAAGAAAATGCGTATCTCCGAGATGTGTGAAAATTTCTCGGATTTTCCGCGCTTGTGTAGGATAAGCTGCGGCGTTAAATTAGACACGCTTTCGTAAACTTCAACAGGTCTCGTACGTCTTCGAAGGACATCAGTTCGTCCACGGGTTGGACATGATCTTCAGACCGAAATGGCTCTACGACGTTTTCGACATGAAGATTATGCTGTTCAAAACGTTCACATTTTAATGAGGATATTTCTTTACGTACTTATTCAATAACATTTAAAAAAATTAAATTTGTTGCGATATTCAAGTATTTTGCACGGTCTTTACATTTTATATATTTGTCAAATTATTTGTGTTTTAACTCACTTTTTCTTTCTAGAGTTAAAATTCTCCGCGTAAAAAAAGAAAAAAAAAGAAAAGAAACTGATTTCACGTGCCTGCAACATGAGACGAGTGCAGCTTTTCTAGAGAAAGATTTTCAAGTGCCCGCACACACACACACACACCGCTGCTAAATGTCGTAAAAGTAAGTGTCGGATTTCCGCGAATCGGGCACGCGCCGGCCGGCAATCTGGTCCAGGCGCACCGGACGCCGGCTCATTCCGCGCGTTAAACAATAGGAGCAGGTGATATACCTCTCCCTCTTCAAGAGAATATATGCACCAAGCAACACCGCATCGCTATTCCCGATCGCGCATTTAACCGACCTTTGCACTTAACCACCGAACGTTGTGCATACGATATACTTTTGTTATTTTAATATTTTCAAAAGCGAACAATGAAAAAAAAAAAAACGAAAAGATGCCCGGTGGTGTGTCGCCCGGACTCTCCCGCGGAGGACACCGGAGTCATGTTGTCGAACGTAAAAAAGATATCTATTTACAATTCCCGCGGAGGACACCGAGGAGGTGTGAACCGTGCGTTGGTCCGCGGATCTGATGACTTTTTTCCTACTCATTCTCAGCATTGAATAATAAGACCGCTTGAAACAATCCGAAAAGCAGAAAGGGCCCTCGCTCGTACACATGCGGGTCGAGCGCGACGCCGGGAGGTCTCACGATGCCTCAGCAGGAGCCCGAAAAGAGAAACGACAGTCCCACGTGTCGGACTTATCAAAATCGAAACATGTAAAAGTCTTAAACAATCTTAATTTAACTCTTCCTCAGAGTTTGAAAACAGTTTTGAATAGTTTCAGTAAAAAAAAAAAAAAAAAAAAAACAACAGAAGTGCAAGATAAACGTCCTGATAACTGAAGAAACGCCACTGGTCGGACGTTTATGTCAAAGATATAAAATATTAAAACATGTGACAGTTTTAGATTTAATGAGTCAATGCGATCTCTCTGATAACAATATTGTAGAAAAAATCAAATAACTATATTATACAAACTGTGACATATTATATAACTTTGTTCTTTTCAGGAGACACATTTTACCGACAAAAAAAGTCGGTCGACCCGTCGTTGGTTCACAAACAATCAATTCAAGTTATGTGGGTCAAAGCGTGATATCGGTTTACGACCGGCTAACCGCGATATGGCAACAACCACCACCGCCTATTTATACGGCGCTGAGCTTTTTGTCAGTCGCATGGGGTGATTCTGTCCTAAACATCACATCCGCCGAAATGTGCTTCCTATGTGGTTGCGCGCTGACCGGGTGAAGAAAGACCGCGAGAAGCGCGCGGTGGGACGAGGGGAAAGCTACGACAGGAACCACCACCTCGCTTTCTTCAACGGCTTTAAACATCCGCTGCACCGGGGCGTTGATCGTGAATCACGTGAACTTTTTTTTTTTACGCAACGAACATTACATCATGCTGATCATAAAAAAAACCTTTAAAAATGTCATATTATTTATTATCAATTACAATATAAGAATACTAATTTGTAAAATTGTACTAAATACAAGGTCCTTCCTTTTTTGATGTCCAATTGAAAAAAAAAAATTAATAATTTTATCTATAAAAAAATTTATGGATTTCTTTTAGTTACATTCAATTAGACCTAATTATGTTTATCCTGATTCATGATCGATCCTCAGCTGCCACGAGATCTTTGGCACAGCCTTTGCCGCACATTCAAAGAAACGCTCTCTCGCACGCGCGCGCGCGTCCGTTTCCCCTTTCCACGTCGGAAGCGAAAGGATGAGTCGGATGTGTTTTTATCCGCGGTCCTCTTTCTGACGCTTCTCTCAAAGTCTCCGCACCGTTTCCGGTTCTTCTCCGTGACATCGGGTTCTATTCCGCGGGCGACACATTTCTTAATTAACTCGCAAGAGTGTAGAGAGATTACAAAAGTATATCAGGAAACTACCGCACACACGTGTATTTGTAATTATTTACATTTATTAGAGAAATAATTATTAGATGTGTAAACATTAAACAATTCTCAATGTATTTTTAATTGTTGATTTTTTAACTTTATACTCAAATGCTTTGTTATAGATTTCTTTGATAAAATATATCCGGCCAGTCGTGCATGTCCGGTCACTTATCTCCGAAAACCTGAGAAACTCAGTAGTCGATATCGATATCGATCGATCTGTGGCTCATATTTCGGAGATGGGGAAGAGTCGTGGGATACAGCTGGACTATACACGGAGCGACATATTCGGTCTCCTTCGAGACGAGAGGAAACGAGAAAAGGGATGACCGGTGAGAGAGTGTTTTGCGCGACACCAATTGTACCGGACTCACGTGCGCGCGAGGCGGCGGCGGCGGCGGCGGCGAGGCAGCTCGTCGAATTCACCAGCTGCCGATTCGCGCCGAGCCGACTCCTGGAAGCACGGGAGTCGATCTAAAATTAGCGTCTCCGGCACCCCCGCCTAGCCCTTACATGGCCACGTCACGGGCATGCACTCGGCTACTTCGAGAAAAAGAGAGAGAAAGCAGGAGAAAACAAGAGAGAGAGAGAGAGAGAGAGAGAAAGTGGAAAAAAAGGGAAACAATAATAATCGCAGCTTGCCGGGCATGAGGTTGATCACGCGCGAGATCTAGCAGCTGGAACTCGTCGACGTCGGTCTTTGCTCCAGAAAACAATCGGCAAGAGCTTACGTTAGCGGAATCAAAGGGAAACACATTCATTCGCGTTGCGAAAAGAAGCCACGAGAAAATCTTCAAGACAGAAGATATCTTTAGTTTACGTTCGCATTACGTTTTTTTTCGTTTTTTTACACATGTCCGGTTTTACGTTCAGACATGCTCCGTCCGAATTCCGATTGTTTTTTTTTTTTTTCGCAATTTTGCGACACTCTGCTGATGCTCTGCCCGAATTCGGCGTCAAGAATCCGCGCGGTACAACTTGTGTCAGAGTCCCTTTTTTTTTTTTTTTTTTATCGCGGTACAAGACAGGAAGTGCCGTACGGGTTAGCAATGAGCCACATGGCTCCCTGGATGAATGAGCGACGTAATGAACGAAAACGTGCGGCGTGCGACAAGATAGCGCGTGTTGCTTTAATGTTCGATGAAAAAAAGAAATCAACTAAAGTGTACCGATTGCCATCGCTCGTGAGATAATACGCTTTTTAATCGTTTTTCCGGTGTTCCAGTTTTCGTGAGAGAGAAATGAGTACTCGCAAATGTGAAATCAATTCGGTGTCATTGGGGAATCTTATCTCAAACATCAAAAAACTACAATAAAATAAACAAATTAAAAATAATCTAGCTTCAACCTTTCCTGAAGCGCCGCACACACACGTACATCGGGGGGGTAATAACCGGAGAGGGTTCAAGGACACGAGCCGCGCGCGATTCGCGATTAATCGCGTCTCGCGGATCTTCCTAGTTCATTGTCCCGCGTGTATTTCGGGGTAGGCCGCGTAACCCCCCCGGAGAAACGGAGAGGAGAGATCCTTTGCGGACTCTCCCCGTAGGAGAACCGAACCCCGTTCCGCGGTACATCTGCGTCGAGCGGATGCAGGCTGCATTTTATGGCCGCCCAATGCACAACCGATTCTTATTCGTGCACCCGCACTCACACCCTCCATCGTCGTCTCTCCGCCGGGAGCACGCGGCACACAACGACTTCTATAATTAGATTTCCTTCCTTCTTTCGGGCTTAGACACCTTCGCGGTCGCGAAGTGATCTCCGCTTGACCTGCGCGAATTAAGAGAGACAGAGAGAGAGAGAGAGAGAGAGAGAAAGAGAGATTGATAGTTGAAAAATGTTAAAGTAATTTAAATTTCTTTAATTGAAAATATTAAAAATAGAAAAAACAAAAAAATGAATATATTTAATAATTAATTAAATACTAGTAACTATTTTGATTAATTACGTTTCTTAAGTTTACTAGAAAATGGAACTAAAAAGTGACACGATTATATTAATTTTAATATTGACAATAAATTGCGGCGTCGCATTCAAATGAACAGTTTTTTTTTTATTGATGATTCACAAATCTGCAATAATTCCATAATAATGTTTGTTCGAATCGCGTTCGCGCGTCATAAAGTGTCACTTCGGTGTTATTTCGAACAGGTTGCGATCTATTTTTTGATCCGTTGGCATCGGTCAGCCGTATCCATTCGGTTTCTCGCTCGTTTACCCGACAGGTAGACACGGACGTGTGTAATATAAACGGCGCGATAGTTAAATCGAGGCGCGGATACATAAGCACGTGCCATGCCAAGACGCGCGATCTATCTGTCGTGGTTGTGGTTATCGTTTTATCGCTGGTAATTGGCCAAAATTCGCCTCTAAACTTGTTGCAGCCGTGTAAAGTTGCGACATTTTCGATTCGGGAACTCGAAGTGCCAGTCTGGCTGGCATGTCTCTCTGTTAATCAGATTTTTAATAACGTCCTACGAGTGTCGTCGCGCGCATTCGCTCCATTTGCCGCTTCTATTAAGGGCTCCCTCGTCGCACACCTGTCTTTAATTATGACGTTAGGACGCGGAGGGAGGGCGAGGAGAGAGGGTGGTTATTTTTGCTCTCTTCGACACGCGGCATAAAAGGTAGCAATTTTTCTGTTAAATGATTTCTACAAGTGAAGATTTTTCACTTGGAGAAGAGCTCTCGAGAGTATATTTTATTTTCAATCAATTGAATTACTTCGTTAACTTTTTTTTATCTCTTTTTTTTTCTATGTAATCAGCATGTTTCTGCAGCAGATTGTTCTGATAACGATCTCGCTTGATCGTTCGATATTCTGGGCAGAATCTGATTTGACGAGACAATTGTTCGAGCGAAATGCGTCCGGAGAAACTTAGAAACTCTCGTCACGAAAGGATAAACTTTAAACAGAACACGCGCTTCCCGCTCGTGCCCGTCGTTAATGGACGAGAGATAAAAGTTGGTGGGGCGTTGGTGATTACGAAATTAGTATTTGTGGATCGTAGTAAAGGCATGTCCTTGTGCAACTTCTTACAGAAGGCGCTTGCCAAGCGCCCGATTAACGTCAGATCGAAAACATTGTAATTCACGACGGTACTTAGCGCAATCTCGAAACGCATATTTTTATTTCACCAACGAGAAGGTTTATTTGCACAACGAGAATTCGCGCCAACGTCAACTTATTCTTTTCTTTCAAAATTTTCATTTCAAAATCTTTCGATCTCTATGGCGCCCGGGCGACTCGTCCCTGATCCGCATGCAAATACGAGCTAAACTTAGAGATGTCCGATTTTCCTCGTTACGACAGATCGCACTCTCGTGTGTCTTCTCATCGACCTTAATCATTCTTTTACCGACTTCACTATAACTGATTTTCGTTATCACGCGAAGCTAAGTTTCCATCAGCAAATCTCGAAGCAAATCTCCTGAATTCACGTTAAAAGACAATTTGTTAATATAAAACTTTGTTATTTTTTATTTATATTTCTTGTTATATGGTGTTAAATCGACCGAAGAAAACTGAAAATGTAGCCGAACGTTTCTCTTTTGTTCAATTATTCGTTTAACTTCGTCGAACCTGATGTTTAATTTGTTTATTTTTGTTCTAATTTATCTTCGAATTAATTGCAACAAATTTTTGAAGAAGTTTGGCTTGAGGAATTTTGTAGAATTTTTTAATTCGTATAAATTTTCGCTCGGAAACAGATGACTTGTTTCGTCTCGGAGAGAGAGCTGTGTGTACGTTGCAGGTGGTGAGGCATTAATCCGATGTGTTTCTGGGCCTCAAAGTGTTAAGATAACATGGCTTAACGGATGCACCGACTGGCCGGATTCTTCAATGGGCCACTAGAAAGAAGAGTTTCTGAATGGGAACGCACACAAACACGCGCGCGCGCGCGCGCGAACGCATCCGATGCGCACACACATCGCAATATTCCTGTTGATAGCGGCGAAATATCATCGAAAGAGAGATGCGCCTCTCTAACGGTATCTAATATTATACTTTGCTATACCTAACATAAGACATTGTGACGCACGTACCGAAGAGCGGCTTCTAAGGAGATTAATAATCGAACTGTATGAAGGTAATCTAGATTTTTTATTATATAATAGTGTTAAAAAATATACGTAAATTAGTAAACGCAACTCAAGCAGTTTATTAAGTTCTTGCAATCGCAACAAATGAATGTCTCAATGACCGGACGAGCATCACCGGGGGAACATTTTGTTATAAAGAAATAGTTAAAACAAAGTACACATGTATAAAGTTGGAATCTAATACTTTTAAAAATGTATTTTTAAAAATATTTGTAACATGGAGAATTTTTTTGTAATTAATGTACACGTTTAATAATTATTTCTTTGATAAATTTCCGGTCACCGGAAACATTTATTAGCTTTTACTGGAAAATAGCGAATTTGTGTGTTTCAGATTTTATAAAAAAGATGTAATAAAAAAAAAGTTGCTCCGGT